GGTATTTATTCTGGAATGTGGCTATAATGTGACTCACCACTCTCTCACTAAGGCATTTAAGCTATTTCCAATTTTTCCACTATGAAATGCGATGCTGTGATAAATAGCCTTATATAAATATCTTAATGAAGGTGCTTTTATTCCCATAGAACAATTTCCTAGGTTGATATTTTGGAGCAAAGTGGATGCACGTTTGAAAACATTTTTTATTTATGGTGATAAACTGCTAAACCTCTCTCTCACCCACTCTATTTTATCAATTTAATTTTTTCTTATATACTTTCCAACACTAGGTATTATGATTTAGTTTAATGTTTACCATTCTGATAGATTAAAAAACTGTACTTCACTGTTTCATTGCATTTCTTTGACTATTAGGAAGTTATATTTTTGATAGATTTATTGGCCATTTGCATTTCTTTTGTAAATTATTAGTTCACGTCTTTTGCCCATTTTTCTTTGGTGTAATCTTCCTCTTTTTTGTGGTTTTTGAGACAGTCTTGCTATGTAGTACAGGCTGTCCTTTAGCTCACTCTGCAGCTCAGGCTGGCCTGGAACTCACAACAGTCCTCTTGCCTCAGCCACCCCAGTGCTGGGATTGTAAGTATATGCCACTATGTCTAGCTGCACAGAGTAATCTTTCTAAGATGTAAATCAGTTCTCATTCAATTCCTGCCCCAAATTTCCAGGTCCTTCAAAATTTGGTCCTTACCTATCTCTTTCAATTTTCATTTTTTAAGATTTTTTTTCTTTTTAGACAGGGTCTCTTTAAGCAGTTTGAGTTGGCCTTGAGCTCACTTTGTAGCCCAGGCTGGTCTTGAACTCACGATTGTCCTGCCTCAGCACCCCACCACCACCACACCACCACCACGTGCTGGGATTATAGGTGTAAGCCACTCCGCCCAGCTCATTTTTTAGGATTTTTAAAAATATTTATGTTTTTCTGGATTGAATCCAGGGCCTCATATACACTATGCAAACACTCTATTACTGAAACTATATTGTCAAACCCTTAAATCATTTCTATCACATGGTTCGTGGATCTTACATGGATCAATCAAAGCAAGAGCCACACTAAATTACATTCTCAAAAGTGACTCACGCGAGCAGGGCACGGTGTTGCACGCCTATAATCCCAGCACTTGTGAGGCTGAGGCAGGAGAATCACAGCAAGTTCAAGGCCAGCCTGGGCTACAAAGTGAGTTCAAGGCCAGTCTGAACCACTGTTCCTGGTCTCTGGAATGTAGTTTGCTTTCTTCTTCATCTAGCTAATTACTAATTATGTTCCGACCAGTTTCCTAACCAGCTACCCTACCCAACCTTCTCCAAGTCCCAGAAAAACTTACTGCCTGCCTTTTCATGTTCTGCTGTGAGGCCTGTCTACCTGTTTTAGATTCCTGCCAGAGTGAACTCCTTCAAGAAAGGAATCATATCTTAGTTGTTTTGTACTTATAAATAAATAAAACTCTGTAATTGCTTGCTGGCTAGATGTATTATTATACATACATTAAACCCAACGTGCCCAAAGCCAAATTCATTTTTCCCTTCTTTTCTGACTACTTCCTAAATCTAATTATCGACCTTTTACATAACTCTTAAATAAATGTCCTTTCATTCCCTCCTTTCCTGCAGATCCCTGTCAATATCTTCATAATCTGTCCTACTGTACTCTTGAGAAAGTTAACATCCAAAGTTGATGTCACTTCCCTTTCTTTAAAGTGATGATTCCTATTACCTATAGGACAAACTCCAAATGTCTTAAGCAGATTAGTTAAGGCCATCTACAATATAATCCCTTGCTGCTTTTACAATCTCAAATCCCTAACAACTTCCCTTTGCTCTGGAACTTCCCTTTGCCCTTCATGTTGTATTTCTGTGTCTTTCAGTACGCTGTTTCATCTACTCACCTGCTGCCATAGTATCTACTCAGTACACTCCTATTCAAGCTTAAAGGCCCAGTTCAAATGTTTCCTTGTCTATGAAAGTTTCCCTGATTACTTCAACAAAGTGAGATGTTCACTCCTCAGTGTTGCCTTGGGACTTTGTACTTCTTATGCTTTAGTACTTATCACATTGTAATGATCTGTTTGTGTCAGGAGAGCTCCTCAAGGGCAGGATATATCTTCCTCCTCTGTGCATCCCCAGGGCCTGGCCCTAGTAGGTGCTCAGGAAATGTCTGATGATGAAAGTGATCTAATGTTAAGCCCTTTAGCATATGGTTACCAATTACCTGATGTTGCTATCCTCCAAACCATTGGAAGCCTCCCCACCATCTCCCTCATAAGACATCATGCTTTCTTCATTTTCCATGCCCATCCTTGTGTTCTCCTGTAGCACACGAGGCTGCTTTGGTCTTATACCACCAGATCCCACATCTGAGTCACTTCCACTTTCACTCAGCTGAATAGCTGTAAAAACGAGATTCTGATTAAGATAGAAACTAAAAAAGAGAGAGGTATGACAGAATTAACTTTTTGTTTTGTGTTTCTGTTTTTTGAGCTAGGGTATCCTATGTAATTCAGGATGGCCTTGAACTTATGGCTCCTCCTGCCTCAACCTCTCAAATGCTAGGATTACAGGAGTGCCACCATACCTGGAAAATTAACATTATTTTGAGACAGCACCTCACTATATAGTGCAGGTTGGCCTCAAACTCTCGTGATCCTGATGGAGTTACAGAGCAGGTATGTGTCATGGTGCCCAAACAGAATTAACATCTTTATATTTGTCTTCCAAAAATAGTCCCCTATATCCATCACTTCAGAAACCTCTTTTGTAAACTGTGTGGAGTCAACAGTGGCAAAATCTATACTTTAGATTGAATCCAAGTAACAATTTCTCTTCTCCATCTCAGTCCAACTTACGTGTTCTTTCATCTCTTCCAATACTTTACCCCCATTAATCTAGAAAGTATCTCCAAATAGGATCTTTTTCCTTCCCTATTGCCACTCATAACACTTTGTTCTCTTCTTTACCAAGTATCCAAATCAAAGTTGCTACTTAGGCATTGCCTTTTCCATTGTCATCTTTTGTACCTCTTGTGTTATTTTTTCACTTCCTCTAAAGCTCATGGACATGATCAAGTGCTTATTACTTTCAGATATATTAATGAGACTTTAATAAAAAAGGCAAATTCTGGTAACATATGTAGCAAAAACTGGGTGTGATGGTGCACTCCTGTAATCCCAGCATTCAGGAGGCTGAGGCAGGCAGATAGTCGCAAATTCGAGACCAGTTTGGGCTACAAAGTGAGCCCAAGGCCAGCCTGAATCACCTATTGAGACCCTGTCTCAAAAAGACAAAAAAAAGTGACCAAGAGTTTCCTATACAATCCTGATGGCTCCATAATGAGCTATGCAGGAGCAGGCATAAAGAAGTATGACTTACCAGAAAAAGGATTATCTCCTTCTTCATCACTTCCAGCATCTTCTTCATCATCTTCTCCTTCAGACATCAACAAATCCTGATACAACACACTGGCTTGAGGTTGTTGTACAGCTCCTTCCTCTTCATCTGCAAGATCACCATCTCCATCTTCACCTTCCTGCATGAGACCAGATGGGGTCAAAGTCCCATTAACTGATCAAGTACGGAGATCAGAAGCTGCTACCACCAGCCCCATACCACCACCCCCTGCTGCCTCACAAGAAGTTAAGTAATTTGGTAGACAAGACTTGTTTAGCTGGTCCCAAGGATTAAAGTCAGACTGAGGCTCACTACGGAGACCCTATGACATTGCCTGGGGATTTGGCCTGCCCTGTACTGTTGGGGTTCCTAGTGCATAAAGGCATAACACAACCATAATCTTTCTGTAAGCATACTCACTGGGACTGGAGTCTTAGGTTTCCCATCCTCCTCATCATACCCTTCAATATCTACATCAGAGTCTTCCTCGCCCAGCCTACCTCGGCCCTGGCGCATCTGAGTAAGGAACACAAATAGCATATCATTGAGGGACGTGCCTGTAGGAGGAGTGAATCAAGGGCTCTTCACCCAGGACAGATGCTCCTCCCTGATATCTCAGCCAACTCCACTGTTAGTGGGGGCTGTTTACACAGCTCAAGGCATGTGTATTTTCCCCCAGTCATTCTCTGGAAATCAAGGCCAGGGGTAAGAAAAACAAAGAACAGGCAGGTCCTTGGTCTACTCTTACTATATCACAAGGATATATCTTCTCTCTACACCAAGCTTTTCTTATAGCTTGTGTTAGATTCTTTCGCACGGAAAAACTCTCCTGGGTTTTACACTCCAGTGAAACCCTAACTAAGAATAGCTATAGGATTTCAGGCTTCAGACTAAGAATCATCTTCTGATACTTCTTCTAAAAGGCCCATTTGAAGCCAGGCATGGTGGTGCACTCCTATAATCCCAGCAATTGGGAGGCTGAGGCAGGCAGATTGTGGCAAGTTTGAGACCAGCCTGGGCTACAAAGTGAGCCCAAGGCCAGCCTGAACTGCATAGTGAGACCCTGTCTCAAAAAGACAAAAAATAATAAATAAAATTAAAAAATTGAAAAATTTAACCTTATAAAATTTTCAGTTTGGATTGTAACTTAAAGTAGTAGCTTTATTATTTTTACCTCTGACTCTGAATGTAGTTGGCTTTTCTAGTTACCTGTTAGGATGCTCTGACATCTCATATATTTGTATACACTTGTACTTTCACCTTGAGTTCTGCTGTGGTAGACTCTGCCCACATGGAGAGAGATGACTATGCAAGTCATGTGACCTGCCAATCCTTCTCCCCCTCCACCTGAAATCACATATCTAAGCTTTCATTTCCAAGGCCAGGGGGCTGAGACATCCATGATGCATCCCTCACTCTCCAGGCATATTACCAATCTCACAAACAGAAAAACAATGTCCTACCTGTGTTACCTGCTTTTCGGGAGTAGCAGCGGGAATATCTAGGACAGACATATTGCTCTCATCTTGAAATACGGAGGCATCTCGAGACATACTGAGGGATGTATTGGTATCATACAAATCAGGAGGCTGTGGTACAAAATGTAAAATTCAGGCTCTACCAAGGGAAGGAAAAATACGGAGAACTCCCCTTTAGAGCATTCACTGCAGGAAAAGGTCATACAGAGTAATCCAGTTAAAGAGAAAACAAGTTTGGCACAGCTCTATGCACAATTGTTTTTTAGAATCTTACACATATTGTCTATTCTAGCAGATTTTATTTTATTTATTATTATTATTTTTGGAGACAGGGTCTTGCTATGCAGTTCAGGATGGCCTTGAGCTCACTTTGTAACCCAGGTCTCAAACTCACAATGATCCTCTGCCTCAGCTTCTGAGTTATTGGATTATAGGCATGTGCCATCATACCCAGCTCTACATTATATATGTGTGTGTGTGTGTGTGTGTGTGTGTGTGTGTGTACCTTGATAGAATGAGAGAGAAGGAATGAGAGAGGGAGAACTTAAGCAGAAATATATTGAAATTAAGGGATAATTTTATATTCTAATAAATCTCTCTGGCCAATAACCTACATTTTTCTAAGTCCTATCTTACTGTTTTTAGACCCAGGGCTTCATACCAGTGCTATTTTGAATGTCTGATTTAGAGACATTCAAGAGGAAATAGGATAAAGAAATTTCAATTTCAACAAAAGCATGGAATGTTTTGACAATTTATGAGCTCATCAGAGGATGCTACAAACAGCAGGGTGAAAAACCATGGGCTTTGAAATAAACTGCCTTGAGTTTGAGTTTCAACTCTACCACTTGTAAACTGTGTAATTTTAACAAATTAATCTAACCCCTTGGTTTCCTCAAGTGTAAAACATGGGTGATAATCTACTTTATAGGGTTGTGAGAAAAGATATGAACACCCAATGCACAGCATCCAACAAATTATAGATCCTTTTGCTCATCTTTCCCGTAAAAACAAAAAGGAGGGCTTAACAAATGGACTATTCAATGATAGGAGGAACCAGTCAAAATGCTTGTAATACAATAAAGTGAAAAGACCAAGTCTCAAAACCATACTAATCAATTTCATTTCTTTACTTAAGCAATACTGGGGATTGATCTCAGGGCCTTTGAAATTGAGCTACATCTGCAACCTTTTTATTTTGAGGCCTTCCTAAGCCACTAAGTTGCCCAAGACTGGGCTTGAATTCATGATCTTCATGCCTCAGCCTCCTTGAGTGCTGGGATTATAGGCATGTACCACCATGCCTGGCTCAATTTCATTTTAAAAGTATTTATAAACACAAAAACATGAACCACACTTTTAAAAAAATTATATCCAATAACTGATGTTCTAAGTTGTGAAACTGATGGTAACTGACTTTTTGTGTTTCCAATTTCTCCCAATGAATGTTACATCTATTAACAGAAAACCCAAATATGTTATTTTTGTGTTTTTTAAAAAAGTAAATAAACGAGACTGAGTACAAAGTTTTGGAGAAAAGCGTAAAACAATTCAAAGCATTAAAGAGCAAATAATCCATTGTGGAACAGAAGGGAAAGTGAGGGAATGAAACTTTTGCAAACTTTTAAAGCCTACTATAGAAAGTAAGGACTGTGTAGGACACTGTGAAGTGAGCAATTTTGAAGTATTACTGAATAAATGATACAATACAAACTAGGTGGAAACAGTCAAGTGAAAATGTATTATTGACTAACACCATTTAGAATTCATAAATCAGGTATGAGTACTGCCATGCTTCTATATAAACCCAAACTGTATTATGACACATTAAACTCATGCAACCTTTTCTAATGTTGTAGTTTTGATAATAATGAGTAAGAATAGTCCACTCGTGTACCTTTCACAGGTTAAGAGGTAATGAGGTGGACTATTTTAAAATGTGTATGTTATGAGTAGAGGAAATGATGCAGTATTCATACCTTCCTCTGTATAGGAAACATTCTAACTGTACTAACCAACAGCTACTGCTCAGAAAGCAGAAAAAGTAATTCTTCAGCCATCTGAGGTAGTATGAGAGGGGTAGGGAAGGAAAATGATTTTTAGACCAAAGGCTTTAACTCACCAGAGCACTAGGCTCAGATCTTCCTAGATCTCAGCAAACCATGTGTAATTCAAGGCCTACACTCCTCTGTAGAATGATGGCTAATACCCAGACTTTAACTTACCAGAAAATACCTTGTAGAAGCTGTGGGCCTATTAGCAAACAGGGCCTTCCTGGGCAACATCACTCACCCAATCCCCCTTGACCCAATTTGCCCACATACTCCAAGTCAAGAGCCTTTCCTTTTTCTGAACCTTGAAGAAGTATCTGAGGGTTCTTTATACCTGGCCCCTCAGTAACCTAGGTTTTGGAATGAAAGAGAGAGTAAAAGACAGATAGGGAAACATATATAAATGAGACACAGAGACAGCAATAATGCAACAGAGATCAGATAGGCGGCATTGGTTCTAAGTGAAAACTGAGTAGAATAAAAAAAAAAATTCCTGTAGGTGTTGGGAGAATTCTTCATTTAAAGATTTGGTCAAATTTGAAATTCTCTGTAGACAAATTTCATACAGAGGATAAAACAAGTATTTACCAAATTTCTACTATGTGCCAGGAAAATTAACTTGTTTAATGTTTATAACAGTCTTGAAAAGTAGATTTTAGAGAAAAGGAAACTGAGTTGGAGAGGATAACTTCCCAAGATCACAAAACTAGACAGTGGCAGAGCTAAGAGTCAAACCCAGACCTATTTTATGTCAAACCTCATGTATTTCCCACTCTACCATAGTATCTTCAACACAGAAACCAAGCACCAGTTACTAGTATATTCTGCCAAGTACTATTATTCAAAATATGCCAACCCTTTAAGAATATAATATAGAGGAAATACACTTAGTATATGCAGGGGTGTAGTCAGATCAGAAACACCAGAAATTTCTTATTTATCCTGCTCTGTAATCTTTGACATGTAAATTTAAGAACATTATAAATATTACCTGTCATTATTTACTAAGGGGGGAGTCAAACTAAGAAAATGGTGACATCTGCACATACTGAGATACCCCTAAGTGAACGAGTCACCATTATCTGTCAGAAATAGAAATATTAAGAGCTACGTCTATAACTGAACAGCCTATACTCTTGGGGATGTCATAGAATCCCAAACTTTATGGACAGGATAACCGGAAAAACTTGGAGAATGCCTCTGGCTAAAGCAGTCAGAAATCTGGTATTCTCAAATTCCTAAACAACTAAGGCCCCATCCCACTCATTCAGCCTCTTCCAAATTTAACAAGGCTACCAAGACCCATGGCCCTCACTCACCTTAGCCTTTGAGAAGACAAGAAAGCACACGAAAGCCATATGAAGAGGAAGGATAGAGAAGAATGGTATCTCAGTAAATAAATCTGTTAACATGCTCCCAATTCCCAAACCAACAAGAAAAATATGAGGAGTTCCTAATCCTTAGACTCACCTGAGGGGTATAGGGACCTGGGGTCATTGGATCTAGGCTTTCCAATTCTGCCTCCTCCAGAGCTGCTTCTTTCGCTGTACATATATCCTTCTCAAGTTGAGTTAAATGCTCATCATACTGAGAAATAAAGATAATTAACGAATAGATTCAATGTATGTTTTAGACACTGGGAATATAGAAGTAAACAAAACAGACAAAAGTATCCCTGTCGTCATGGAGATTTTATACTATTATCCTGATGGACACAGATAACCAAAATAAATAAAGCAGAGAAGAAATCAGGGACTGAAGTGAGGGTAGAGTGGGATGGCTCCTCACTCAAAAGAACAAAAGGATTCCAGGGAACTATATGCCAGGGACCTCCTGCATACCACCTACCTCAGTTAATGTCTGGTAACAGATGTTCACAATCTCCTGAGCAGTCTTAGTATACTGACTCTCAGGGCCTATAAATGAAACAAGTTTCATTTAAGAAAATGCCATTACTTTTATATCATCACCAGTAGTATGTTCCATTGCCTGGACTCAGAAAAATGATGCTTCATCTTTAGTTTGGATTTCTATTCCACTTTTACAAATGGAAAACTTCAATCATATACAAAAGCAGACTAATATAATAAACTCCAATGTACCCATTAGTCATCTTCAACAATTCAACACATGGGGGTTGGGGATACAGCTCAATGGTACAATGCCCACCTGGCAAGTGTGAGGACATGAGTTTGATCCCTGGTACCAAAACAAAACAATTCAACACACACTCAATCATGTTTCATTTATACTTCAACTTTTCAGACTATTGTCAAATTATTTTGAAGCAAATTCCAGCATCGTATCATTTCTGCATTAATTGCTCAGTATGTGCTGCTAAGGATACTTTTTAAAAATAACCATATGATATTATCATGGTTAAAAAAAATCATTATACACCTGTCAAAAACACAGAATGTGCCGGGGATTTAGCTCAGTGGCATAAGCGTTTGCCTGGCAAGTGCTAGGTCATGAGTTCGGTCCCAGGTATCAAAAACAAAACAAAACAAAAACCACAGAATGTATATCACCAAGAATGAACACTTATATAAACTATGGACTTCAGATGAAAATGATCCATCATTGTAGACTGACTGGCTGGTACAACCAAGTACATAGTGTTGATGGTAGGAAAGACACATATGTGAGGCAAAGGACTATTTGTAACTTCCATTCAATTTTACCATGAACCTAAAACTGCTCTTAAAAAAATTAAAGTCTATTTGAAAATAAACCCCACTTAAAAATCCAAATGTTATCATTATCTAAATTAACTTAAAAAATTTTTTTTGCAGTACTGGGTTTAAACCCAGGACTTTTACACTGAACTACATCCCCCACCTTTATATTTTGATAGCATCTCACGAATTCTCTAAATTATCCAGCCTAGGCTTGAATTTGTGATCCTCCTGCCTTGGCCTATCAGAGTACTGGGATTATAAGTGTGTACCACCACATTCAGTTATAGATGTTTTTTACATTTGATTTCTCTGAATTGTAACCCAAATGAGGCCCATACATTGTATTCAGCTGATATATCTCCTTCAGACACTTTACCTATAAGATGAACTCTCTACAGCTTATTTTTCAAGTTATAAACTTGATTTGCTTGCAAGTTAGTCCAGTTTGTTTGGGTCACATAAAAAAGTAGTTCAGACTGGGTGTGGTGACACACAGGAGGCTGAAGTAGAAGGATCACCATGATTCAAGGCTACCCTGGGTTATATAGTAAGTTCAAGGCCAGTGTGAAGTACATAACAAAAAATCAAAAACAAAAGAAGGTTCCATTTATAAAAATAGATTAAGCTGTATACTTGTGCTGTCTGCCTGCACTTTTTCAAGGTTTTCTACAAATTTATTATGTGACAACATTTAACAGCTGGAAGAGTTCACACAAAAACTCAAATATCTGGCTGCCCTTAAAAATTAAGATGAAAAATTTTAAAAAGGGCTGGGAATGTAACCCACTAAGAAAGCTATGGGTTTAAAATCCAGTACCATGAAAACAAAATTTAAAAAAAATTAAAAGATGTGGCAATACTGGGTCAAACACCAATGTGTTGGAGCTGAGTAGCAACTGTGTGGGGGAAAAAAAAGTAGAAATCGAATCCCAATTTCCCAAGGCCCCAAGTGTTATTATACAGAGAATCATAATTAAGTTACAAAGAATAGTTTCCAGAATGACACCAGTGCCAAAAAAGTCAGTATCAAATAGTTACATATATTATTCTACTTACATAACAAGCTCAAATGTCAAAAACCTAGAGATGGAGAACACTTATGTGGGACAGGGGCACTGGTGGGTGCATGTGTGGGGAATGCAAATACAAAGCACAGAGAATTCTTTTGAGGTGATAGAACAGTTCTAAATCTTGACTGCAGCAGTGATTACACAAACATATGTGGCATTAAAACTGCAGAAACACACACACACACATATACACAGACACACAAATAAAAAAAAAATTTTTTTAACACTAGAGATTGAACTCTGAGCCTTCCTACTGACTTACATCCTCAGCCCTTTTCACTTTTTGATACAGTGTCTTGCTCAGTTACCCAAGTTGGGCTCAAACTTGCAATCCCTCTTGCCTCAGCCTTCTGGTGCTTGGATTACAGGGGTGCACCACACCTCCAGCTGGATATAGATTATTTTTTTAACAAAAGGTGACAATTATAAATGAGGTCTGTAGTCTAGTTAACAGTAATATACAAGTATCAATTTCCTGGTTTTGATACTGAATTATAGCTACTTAAAAGATTATCACTGGAGCCAGGGATTTAGCTCAGTGGCATAAGCATCTGCCTGGCAAGTGCAAGGTTGTGAGTTTGATCCCTAGTACAAAAAAAAAAAAAAAGATTGTCATTGGAGAAAGCTAAGTGAAGGGTACACAGGACACTTTGGACTGCTCTTCTGCAATTTCGTAAATCTATAATTCAATAGTTAAGAGTATCAGGATATATTCAAGAACAAAAACAGCTGCTAGGCCTGGTGGCTCAGGCCTGGAATCTCAGCACTCGGAAGGCTGAGGCAGGAGGATTGCTGTGAGTTCTAGGCCAACCTGAGTTCCACAGTGAGTTCAAGGCCAGCATGAACTGCATAGTAAGTCTCAAAAATAAAAAATTGCAGAATAATTATGTATGAAATGACAGTTTTAACAAAAAGTTTTTAAAACTATGTAACTTAAAACATTTTATATAAGCACGAAAAAAGTATTAAAGATATATGACCAAAAATAGATGTATGACAAATGTCATCCTCTGGAAAAGAAATGATAGGAGACCGGAGTGGAAGGGTAGACAGATGCTTAAACTTTTAAATTAATATTATTTAATCAGGCATACATTAACAAGAGATACGCCAACTGAGCATATTCCCGAAGAATTTCTCTGAAAATCCCTAGAAGTTAATCCTGTCTCTTCAGTGGTGGAATTAGAACCAATCAGACAGGGTGGGCATCCTTTATTTCACTGCAAGTATCTATAGCATCATGAAGTATCAGATACTGAATACTTAGAACATGATGTCCCAATCACAAACTGTGCACATTCTCCAGTTACCTCTCTATAATGTTTGGACACAGGACAGAGCCACCTGGAATTCAGAGCCCCAGATTTCATGGACAATTTAAAGTGTAAATATGAGGAAGAGGTAGTCCTCTGGGTAAAGGGAATACAATGAATAACTAACTTAAATAATAAGAATGTATGTTGATTTTTTGCAAAAACAATATATTATTTCCAGATATATAATAAATCTAGCTGTAATGAGAAAGATGACCTTACAAAGCTAAAGTAGGGCATTTCATTCATTCATAAAGGGGGTGTTTCATTCTTGCTAATGACATGAGATTTAAAGTTTCAAACGTTAATATTTTTATCTTTGCCCTACTCATTGACAGAAAAAACCCTCAATATTTATTTATTTAGTCTTTTTGAGCAGGGTCTCGCTATGCAGTTCAGGCTGGCCTTGAGCTCACTTTGTAGCCTAGGCTGGTATCAAACTCACCATGATCCTCCTATGTCAGCCTCCCAAGGGCTGGGATTACAGGTGTGAATCACCATGCCTGGCTAACCCTCAGTATTTACTAGTAGCCAAACTTAGAGTAAAGGCTTCGCAAAATATACTTAGAAACTAGTATTGTATTATAGAAATACTTCAAGAATTATATTGAGATTATGAATAATACTAAACCCTTCTATTCATATTCTTCAAACTTAACTGAAACCTTTAGAATTAATTACCAGTTAGAAAAACAAACACAAGTTCACAGCAACAACTTTTAATTTACATAGGAATAAACAGTAAAAATGTTCAACAGCAACAAAAATTATAAAATAATAAATTAAATGGTGCCTAGAAACTTTATGACGAAAACTAGAAGCCTTTATCAAAAGACATAAAAGAAAATGTAAGTAAGCATTAAGTTTCTAGATGGTAGAATATAATGCTGTAAATATAAAATACTCACACTTTTTTGGTGGTATTAGAAGTTGAAAGCAGGGCCTTGTACATTTGACCCTTTGTTCTATTACCAAGATACATCCCAAGATAGACACTTTGCAAATTAATCCATAAGTTAAGTTCTCAGAACTGTATTTAAAGATAAGTGATAACCTAACAAAAATGATTCTAGAGTTGATTTAGAATAATTATGTAAATATGGCTAAAATACATAATTTACAAGGCTTTAGTGATAAAGTGATATTGCACTAGATGAGACAAATCAATGAAACAATAGAGAAACCTAAAGTAAGATCAAGAATACCTAAGTATTTAGTGTGTTACACATTTTTGTTTGTTTAAGACAGGGTCTCGATTGGTAGCCCAGGCTGGCCCCAAACTCATGATGATGCTCCTGACTCAGCTTCCCAAATGCTGGGATTATGGGTGTGCATAACCACAATCAGCCAATTTAGTATATTATAAATGCAGACTCTCAATTAGTAAGGAGGACAAACTATTACATAAATAAAACTTGGACACTCTGAACATTTGGAAAAGAAAAACTGGTATTTATCTTATATCTTAATTATATTTTTAAAATGAACAGATATTTAAATCATTAAAATATCATAGCATGTATTAGAAGAAAATATAATTGGTTGTTTTGAAGGTAGTTCAGATACCAAAGATGATAATAAAAAGACTGATAAGAACAACTACATAAAAATTAAAATTTCTTAGGCTGACACAGTAGAATCTCATGTTTGAACACAGAGTAGGCAAGTTAGCAAGACCCTATATCTCAAAAATAAGCAAGGGTTGGCAGTGCAAGTAGCTCAGTGTGAAGGCCCTAGGTTCCATTCTAGCAATGTAAAAAACAGAGTTTCTGTATGATGGAAAATATTAAATAAAATTGGGGGCTGGAGATTTAGCTCAGCGGCACAAGCGCCTGCCTTGCAAGCGATCGATCGTGAGTTCGATCCCCGGTACCGATAAAAAGGAAAAAGACAAAATAAATAAATAAATAAATTTTAAAAATTAAGATCTTTTTTGAACATGACAGCAATTGCTACTGGATTAGCCCTCCAACTATAACCAGAAAACTGGTGGTGGTGGTAGGGGGAGTTATAAAACAACTGTTTTCAGACACTAACCAACACAGAAATGCAAGATTCTGTGGCCCCCAAAAGAAGGAAAACAACCGGTTTCTGCTGAACCCAAGCCAGGGAGACACAGATACTGGAGTGTGAGGAAGCTGACACAGATTGAAATTGCAGTGCAGAGCTGCAGAGGAGAGAGCTCCATGGAAAAATAACAAGATCTGTAGAAGCTCCCTTTAGTCTCTGGCTGAATAGTAAGCTACATGCAAATAGGGTAAAACTCTACAAAGTCAGGCAGAGTCCTAAAAAGTGTTCACATAGGACTGGGAGTTACTCAAAAGTGGGTGAAAAACACAACTTCTTGTTAAGAATGGTGGCATACATCTATTATCCCAACACTGGGAAACTGAGTCAGGAAGATCACAGATTTGAGCCCAGCCTGGGCAACTTAAGATTTTTGTCTCCAAAAAGGGGAGAGGGGTGCTGGGGATATAGCTCCATGCAAACACCTGGAACCAGTGCCCAGTCCCACAAAATATATCTCAGTACAAAGGCTCTGGGTTCAATCTTCAGTATCAAAAACAAAAACAACTTCTTATGAGTTTCCTATTTTATGTTTTATAAATTTATTTTAGGTCTAAATCATGGAATCTCACTGAACATTCTAAAATTTTAAGCTCTTGCCTTTTGGCTGGAACCATCATCTTCCAGTAATTTGCAAAAATGACAAACACAAAGCGAAAAAGGAGAGGAACTTGGTATGTTCTCGGCCTTTTAGAAAACATGGGGTTGCTCCTTTGGCCACGTATTCTACAAAAAATGTGGACATTAAGGGAATGGTAGTTGTTCAAAACAGAAGGCCACACAAATGTTAGCATGCCAAAACTGGGAGAATCTACAATGCTAACCCAGCATGCTGTAAACAAGCAAGTTAAGGCCAAGATACTTGCCAAGATAATTAAATGTGCATGTTGAGGACATTAAGCACACTAAGAATGGATTTAGCATCCTGAAATGCATCAAGGAAAATGATCAGAAAAGAAAGCCAAAGACGGCCGGAACGCTGTCCTGGTCTGGAACCAGCATGGCGGCCGAGCGGAAGACCAAGTTGTCCAAGAACTTGCTACGCATGAAGTTCATGCAAAGAGGACTGGACTCAGAAACCAAGAAACAACTAGAAGAGGAAGAAAAGAAGATCATTAGTGAAGAATATTGGTATTTGGATTTGCCCGAGCTTAAAGAGAAAGAACTAGAAAAGTCTCCCAGATAATATCCAGTTTATTTTCTCTGGAGCCTGTGTTACCTGGCCTGGGAAAACTGACTTTTCTGCAGTGGTGAAGGATCTTTATTTAGGAGTTTCATAATAGAAGAGCAAAGCTTCTTGTTATGTGAAGATCTTCTCTATGGAAGAATGTCATTCAGAGGATTCAATCCTGAAGTTGAGAAATTAATGCTTCAGATGAATGCGAAGAACAAAGCCGAGGAGGAAGAGGAAGATGAAACCGTGGAAGTTGATGTGTCAGATGAAGAAATGGCTAGAAGATACGAAACCTTGGTGGGGACAATTGGAAAAAAGTTTGCCAAGAAGAGAGACCGTGCCAATTATGAGGAAGATGAAAATGGAAACATGAAGCCTATTAAAACGAAAAAGATGTTCTTAAAGCCCCAGGATTAGAGTGAGCACCTTCAAATATGGCTCCGGAGCCTGTGAGAGGAGCGTGGTTTAGAGTCCCTCCTGATGGTCCCTCTCTCGTTGCTAATAAGTCACGTTGTTTGTAAAGAAATGTACGGTTTGGGAAACATGCTGTTTTTGAAACAGATGTGTGGTAGATGTTATACATCCTTTTCCTAGTGGCATTTGTCAAGAGTGTAATGCCAGCCCTTGACCTTGGTGACGGGAGGCCCAGGGCTGCTTACTAAAGATTTGTTTTAATGCGTACTTCTCCAGTCACTGACCTTCAGCTGGCTCCTAAAATCAATGCTAATGTTGTGGTTGCCCTCATGTTTATATTTTGCTTTAATCGTGTCAGCCCAATCCATGCATTCATTTTGGAATCAATGCCATGAGAATTTATTGTACGTTAACTGATCAACAACAGACATAACCTCTAGCCTGAAGCGTTTGTATGCTGCCAGTTCACTGTCTGTGTTGGGTGGTGTTTTGTTGTTTAAGGCATTTAATTAAAGTTCTGTAATAAAAAAAAAAAAAGCCAAAGACAAAGGTACTTGGGTTCAACTGAAGTGACAGCCTGCCCTGCCCAGAGAAGCACACTTTGTACGAACCAATGGGAAGGAGTATGAGTTGCTGGAACTTGTTCCCTATAAATTTATAGCATAAGTTGGGGAGTTCTGCTATTCAGCACCTAAATAGCAGTTAAGATGGTCTAGGCCAGTGGTGGTGAACCTTTATTTTAAGAAAGGGTCTCACTAAATTGTCCAAGCTGGGATTGAACTTCTGATCCTCCTGCCTCAGCCAGCTGTTTGGTATCACTGAAAGCTTTAAAAGGTTCATTATCACTCTCTAGACCCTGATTAAAAATAAAAAAAGCATCTTGAATTGTATGGAATTGTTTTCTTAATTAAACAAGTATGTGGTGTCCTTACCTCAGAGAAACAAGTTTTTGGAGCAGTGTCTGTACCTAATTAAGTCAGATCTTTACTCTTCAATGCTTTTCTTATGTGAGGGATTGTGTAGGTGTATACACTCAAATGGCAAAATACTTGTATTTATATTGGCTTGAAGATTCTGTAAATCACCATGGGAAAAAGATGTATCAAAAAACAAATGGAACGCAATTTATGGTGTTACAGTTAAATACAGAAACTATTTAAAGCCCCTTAAATAAAAAAACAGACTTCAAGTGCTCAGGCTCTAACTAGCCTAGGTCTGACCCAAAGAAAGGTGGTTTGCTTAGTGGAAGCAATTTCCAGGTTTTTTTCCTTTTGTAGTACTGGTGATCAAACCTGGGCCCTTATGCATGCTAGGCTAATGCTCTACCGCTGAGCCATACCTCCAGAGCTTTCTATTTTTTTCAGACAGGGTCTTGCTAAGTTGTACATACTGGCCTTAAATCATGATCTCTTTGCCTCAGACTCCCTAAGCAGTGGCATTACAGGTATATTCCACCAAGCCCAGTAGACTGTAGCTTTTCTTTTCCTTTCTTCCCTTCTCTGTCTATCTCATTCCAATGGGGATTGAACCCAAGGGCTGTGCTACATCCCAGGACATTTTATTTTTGTATTTTACTGATGCTGGGCTTAAATGTACAATCTTCCCACCACAGCCTCCCAAACAGCTGGAATTAAAGGCATGTGTCACTGTGCCTGGCTGGTTTTTAGTTTCTGAAACACTAGATGAGATACCTATGATGATGTCTTTGAGAAAGAGGATCTCATGATGACTAGCTTAGTGTCTCTACTGGTTTAACTGAACATTAAGTACTAAGATTTCCACCAACTGCTTATGGTTTTGTTGAAAGTGGTAAAAGATTGGGTTTTGCTTTTCAGAAGAGAGATCTATCCTATGACATTGTACTTAACCAACATGGAGGATCTGGGCATGTAGCATGTGTGAAATCTTGCGTTTAATCTCTAGCACTGCAAAAAACAAACAAACAAACAAACAGCTATCCCTTTTGGGACTACTGCAAATAACTCCAACTACTTTACATTCTGGCTTTCCCTGATTACTAATATTCCTTATCAATTCTTTTTTTCTTCTTTTTTTTTGGGGGGGGTATACTAGGAATCAAGTTTTTTCTGAGGCAGTAGAATCGCCATGAGCTTGAGGCCAGCTTAAAGTACTTAACGAGATCCTGTCTTAAAAAAAAAAAATCCTGTCTCAAAAAAATTGAGCTAATAGGTTAAAAAAAGAGGTATTTGTTTCAATTTGTTTTTTGATTATACACTGAAATATTTACTCATATTCATTAGTTATTTTTCTTCTTTGAGTCATTCATTTGCCCTCTGCTTATTATTCTATGAGTATCTTCTAAGCTTTTCTTATTGTTTTATCTAAAGGGTCTCTCCAAATTGCCCAAACTGGACTTGAACCTCCTAAATTAGCCTCCCAAGTAGCTGGGATTATAGGTGTGTGCCTTTAGGTATGTGGATGGGATTATGTGGGCTAGATTTAGGTATTTTCTGGAAACAACACTAGATAACTGACCTGAAAGGAGGCACTTCTCATCTATAATTTCCAATGACTAATAAGAGCACAAAGGAAAAATCAGATCCTTTCAACCCAACCAAGAAGAAATCAGATCCTTTCAACCCAACCAAGAAGAAGAAAACCAAGTAAAAGACTCATCCTACCACTTTTATTTTTCTTTTTTTTTGGTATCAGGGATCAACCTCACAACCTTGCACTTGCCAGGCAGGCGCTTATGCTGCTGAGCTAAATCCCTGGCTCTACCACTTTCTTTAATGACTTATATGTGTTCTATACAACTTTAGTTTCCTGAACTTGCCCTGTTCTTTCATTATTCTATGCTATTGAACATTCTGGTTCTCTGCCCAGAATGTGCCATTTTCATCTGTCCCATCTTTTATCTCCTTCCTCCAATTCTGTCTCTTCTTTCTGGCAGACTTAGAGCCCCATTACTTGGGCTGCGATTACTGAGTGACATAATCATGTGGATTCTTTGTTGAGACCTCAGTACAATAAGTAATTTTTCAAATGTCCTTATATTCCTCTTCTATTTTCATTAAAGAGCTACATAGGACTGCTGTTTCCCTGCTTGGTTCCTTCAGTGTGTTCCCACTTTGGTAAATACTTTCTTAGTTTTTTTGTTTTTTTTTTAAAAGATAGGGTCTTGCTTATGTAGTTCAGGCTGGCCTTGAACTCATGGTGATCTTCCTGCCCCAGCCTCCCAGGTACAGACTGCATTACCACAAACAGCAGTAAAAACTTTTGAGTACTGCATACAAGGCTCTATATAAATTTTTTGGGGAGTACTGGGGATCAAACTCATGACTTTGTACTTACCAAGCAAGCGTTTATGCCACTGAGCTAAATCCCTGGCTCAAGGCTCTATATAATTTGACTCCCATCTACCTGTCTAAATTGTAACCACACTTCTTATTTTTTAAAGCTATCATGCAATTTTAGACCTCTATCTCTTTACATATTGCTGCTTTCATCTAGAACATTTTCTCCTCCACATTCTTTGCCTAGCAAACACTACTGATCTTCTAGAACTGAAGGAACTCACTGATGCTTAACAAAATTCTGACTTGGAAGTTTGAAAAATGACAGAGTAGAGACTAATAGCAAAATATAGCTTCTAGCTTCTGTAAGACCTGGAATCAAGACACTTAAAAAACAACTTAGCAAAGAGAAGTAGAGGTCTATGAATCAAAAAAGAGCCCACATAAAATACCAGAAATACATAGTAAGATCCTGTCTTACACACACACAGACATGAGAGAGAGAGAGACAGAGAGACAGAGAGACAGACAGACAGAGACACACGGGGAGAGAGACAGACAGAGAGACAGAGAGACAGAGAGAGACACAGAGAGAGAAGGAAAAGAAAAGAAAACATCAGGGAATGCCAACCCTGGCTCTCATGGAAGGGAACCTGTCTCCAATGATACAAGTATTTTAGTTTGTTTCTTCTCTCTGTGTAGTGCTCAGATCAAGCCCCCAGAAGGCTGGACACTAAGAATACCCTCAAATATTACACTGAATAGGAGGTTCAAGAGGGGTATAAACACCAAAACATAACCAAATACAAGGAGATGTCATAGGAAGACCAAACCTAACTAACGAGTTCTTCATAGAAGTGCCAGAGTTTCTCTATCCCAACTGAAAGTCAGGCTTGATGGCTCACGCCTATAATCCTAGGACTCCGGAGGCTGAGGCAGGAGGATTGTTGCGAGTTCGAGATGGCATGGGCTACAAAGTGAGCTCAAGGTCATTTTGAAACAAAACAAAACAAAATAAAAAACTTCTCTATTCCAACTGATCTTTAGCTCATAGTGCAAAAAACAATAGAAACATGAGAAAGCAAGGTACTACGTCCCCCCAAACCCCTAGCTCCCCGAAAGCTGATCTTATGGGCAGTGAAGTCAAGGCAAAGAATTCAAAAACCAAATGGTTAAAATATTTGAAGAGATAAAAGAAAAATAAGCAAATGCATAAAATTTTCAGTAAGCTCAAAATGGATTTAAATAGGTAAAGAATTTTACTGCTGAAGTGTTAGATGAGATTAAAGAAGAAACATACAGTAAGCCAATTGAATTAAGCAAGACAATGCAAAGCAGGAATGGCTACTTGGGAAAAGAGAAAGTACACAAAGCAAGCAGAGGTAGATGATGTGAAAAATTCGATGAAAAACATAGGTAGCAGATCTGACCAATGTGAGGACAGTGTTAGAAACAATATTACAGTAATACTTCTCCATGTCAATGGTCTCAGCTTCTCAATCAAAAGACAAAGATTGGCAGTCTGGATAAAAGTACAATTGAAGGGGCTGGGGATTTAGCTCAACTGCATAAGTGCCTGCCTTGCAAGCAGGAGGTCGTGAGTTTGATCCCCGGTACCAAAAAAACCCAAACAAACAAATACAATTGAAAATTGCCTACAAGAGATACACCTCATCCAAAAGGAAAGACATGGACTGAAACTGAAAGATTGACTACTGGTAAAGGGAACAATTCAACAGGAATTGTAAATATCTACAGACCAATTGTCAGTGGTCCTAGTTTCTTTTATTTTTTGGGACAGGATCTTACTGTGCAGTATGGGGCGGACTTGGGCTCACTGTGGTGCCCAGCCTGTCCTCAAACTTGCATGTGATCTTCCTGCCTCAGTTTCCTGAGTATATGTGCCACCATACCTAGCCCAGCCACCACACCCATCCCAGTGCATCCAATGTCTTAAAACAAAAATTACTGGACTTAAAAAGACACCAAAACAATCATAAGGAGATGTTAATACCCTAGTCTCAAAATAAGACAGATTATGCAGACACAAAATCAACAAAGAAACATGAAAGTTAAACCACACTATTGAACAAATGGACCTGCCAGTAACAATAACAACAACAAAATAAACATTTTTACCAATAGCACATGGAACTTTTTCCAAAATAGACCATATCTTAGGTCACAAAGCATGCTTAAATAAATATTAAAGAACTGAAATAATCCAATGAATATTATAGTGGAATGAAGCTAGAAATCAACAGTAAAAGAAGCCACAGAAATTATGCAAACAGAGTTTAAGTAATATGTTATTGAATAATCAGTGGATCACGGAAGAAATCAGAGAAGAAATAAAACAGTTTCTGGAATAAAATGACAGTAGAACCATAACATACCAAAACCTATGGGACATCATAAAAGCATTCTAAGCGGGAAGATTATAGTGACTTCAAATAAATAACCTAATGGTACATCTCAAGGACATAGAAAGACAAGAACAATCCAAATCTGAAACTAATAGAAAACAAGTAATGATAAAGATCAGAGCAAAATGAATGAAACTGAAATTTAAAAAAAACAATACAAAGGATCACTGAACCCTAATACTGGCTCTCTGAAAGAATGGGAAGGGAATTTGAGGATAAGGGAGATGAGAGGGAGGGGCAAGGGAAGTAAAATGATCAAAATGCAATGTATACTAGGCATGGTGGAACACACCTGCAATTCCCGGATCACTGTGGTTCAAGACCAGCTACAAAGTGAGCTAGAAACCAGCCTGAACTGCATACGTGTCTTTCTCAAAAAAAAAAAAAAAAAGAGGCAATGTGTATGTACAATTCTCCCATTGTGTATCACAATAATACACTAATAAAAAATTGAAAAGAGAAAAAAACTGACTCCTATCCTGTGGCAGGTGTATATGTTTCTAACATCGTATTTAAATACTCCAATTTTTCTTTTGTTTTCTCAACTAAACTGCAACCAATTTGGAGGCAGGAACATTATGTAGTTTGTTTTTATTTGTAGCAGGTACACATAAGATTATTCAATTCATGTATGCTTAACCAGTGAGTCATTCAAAATTGAACTTCAACAAGATATGGTGGCACACACCTGTAATCCCAGCACTTGGGAAGCTATTGCTGCAAATTCCAAACCAGCCTGGACTACCAAAGTGAGCTCAAGCCTGAACTGCAAAGCAAGATCCTATCTCAGAAAATAAAAATAAAGTAAAATACAAACAATAAACAACAACAACAACAAAAAATAACTTTAGTCAGGGTGGGTCACACACCTATAATCTTAGTTACTTTGGAGGCTGTAGCAGATGGGTTCCAAGTTTAAGGCCAGCTGGAGTAACAGCAAGATCTTGTCTCAAAATTAAAAGGGACTGGGCATGTAGCTCTTTGTAGGATACTCGTGGGTGCAATACCCAGTACTGCAAAACAAAAACAAAACCCCACAAAAAACAAAAACTGAACTTTATTGGCTTGCTTATGACTTTTTTAAACTGTGGTGATCCTTCTGCCTCAGCTTCCTAAATGCTAAGATTACACGTGTGAACCACTATACCCAGCTTCATTGGTTTATTAAACCTTCCCTAACCCTTAGGTCAAGATACTCCTTAATCTCCTCTAGTGCCTTTTGTACATCCTTTTCTTTCTCTCTCTCATTTTTGGTACCAGGAATCAAACTCAGGACTTTGTGCTTGCCAGGCAGGTTCTTGTGCCACTGAGCTATATTCCCTAGCCCTGTGCATCCTTCTCTTACAGACCTTGTCAAGCTACTTTTTTTTTTTTTTGGTATCAGGGATTTAACTCACAACTGCACACTTGCAAGGCAGGCGCGCTTTAGGGTAAGTAGCTAGCACAGAGCCTAGTGTATATTATTCAATCAATTCACATACTGAGCAAAACTCTATGCACCAAGGGCACATATACAGCCACACACTTCCCTTAGCTTCATCTTAGGCCCTGGGGTATAGGTGGTACCTTTTCACATCTTATGGAAATATACTAGTGCCTCAAAACCCTAAGGAATACCCACCTGATTTTTTACTCACATCTCGTTTTTGTGCTTTGCAGAATTTTAAATTATATAAGCATAAGACTACTTTATCATTAAACATTTAGTAACAAACTTTATAGAACATAAACCAAAATACAGATATTCCTCATTTAATGACCCATTTGTTTAATGACTGTTTAGATTTTAACCGAGGTGGACTGCACAGTTTTTTACATCTTGTTTATACAGCCTCAATGTCTTTTTTGTACAATATACCTTGTTTATACAGTACTATCATTTTTGCTGATTGTACTGTACAGTATAGTACTGTAGTTTTATGTTCTGTTATACTTTATGTCAGAGTTATGCAAATAGAAACAAAGTCATCAAGCTGGAATTTTTGATCATTTCTTTGTTTTGAATATTGTATGTACAATAAACAAGTACTCATTTAACTATCAATTTGTTTGTATGTCTGCTTTAAAGACAAAAACAGAAAAAATATAAAGACAAAAGCAGACTAACTCACTTGACTGATTTAGTTGTCACTGCTCAAGTCTGCTTTATGTGCTTAAATTTTAATAATAGTAACTAATGCTGCATGAAGAATGGTTAAGAGAGAGAAAAAAACAGAAAAATACCCACCATTGTACTTCACACTGTTGGCCAGAATAAGATTTACATCATCTAGAAAGCTCTCCCGACTCTGGTACTTGTGCTTGGAGATATTCTACGATGAAAAGCATTAGGTACTCAGATACAAACATAAAAAGACACCGATTAAAAAATTATTTTTTGTGTCAAGATCTTGCTATGTAGTTTAGGCTGAACTTGAACTCCCTATGTAGCCCAGGCTGGCCTAGGAACTTGTGTTGATCGTCGACTCTCGATTCCCAAGTGCTAGGATTACAGGTGTGTGTTATCATACCCAGCTAAAAAAATCACTTTTGATCACATTACTCACCTTACGTATAGTCTCTAAATCCATTGGACTGACAATCACTTTATAATAATCTGGAACAAACTTCTTATTAACTGGGTGATGAAATGGCCAAGACTAATAAAAACAAAGCATGGGAAATTAAATGAAAACCATTCTTTACACAAAATATTGTCAATCTCTGCTGGGTCACAAATGTTCCTAACAAAAGCAATAGACCTTCCCTGAAAAAAATACACAATCATATAAAAATTTGTTTATAATTTAAATGGTCCATGGATTCCTTTGAGAGTTCCTATACCTTGGTAGGGTAAGAACTCCACATTTAACATTGAAATTCCTCATTCCCAGTTCAGTACTCACCCCATTCAAAAGTTTTATAGCATGACCTATATAGAACATATGTCTATTATACAAAGGACAAAAAACAAACCCAACTACAGTTCTGAATTTCTGGGACGTACCATTACAACAAAATGGTCCAAAGAATCAACACCATAGAGGTAAGTCCTGCCATAAAATTGCAAATGGAGGGGAAAAAAAGCAATAAAAGACAACAAATACTGGGTAATTATCAAAGTGTTATTTTTAATACAAGCACCTCTAAATCAAGAGCTTTCTGGGCTTGGGATATATCTCAGCAGCACAGTGTCTGCCTGGCAAGTGACAGGTCCTAAACTTGATTCCTGGTACCAAACAAAAAGGCCTTTCTGTTATGAGGTATCCTCTCTCTAGATGTCTATTCAGAAGCATCAAAATACTGAATGTCAACAACACAACAGAAGGCAAGAACTTTTCTATATCCAAAGACTCCTGGCCTTTACTATTTCAACAATAATGTATTCATACAGCATAAAGGCTGATATTTAAAATTATACACGATTATTTGTTTTTACTGACATATACCAATGCTCAGAATCATTAACATATACATATACACAGCCTATACGTCTTTCCCTTCCCCTGTACTATTGTTACAATATTTAGCACAGAGACAACTTACATCTGGAACTGCCATCATTTTCTGGGTGACAATGTTGTCCAGAATGAATGAAAATGCCACTTGGTCATCATCATCTAGCAAAGGGTTGATAGCTTTCTCTAAGCGAGCCAATTTGTCTTCTTTCTGAAATAAAACCAACAAAAGAAGCTGAGACAGAGATTTCCCTGAGGTGTGGTCACTGAAGAAAAGCTATGAATAATGTAAAGTTTAGCTAGCTTTCTATGACTTTTGACCCAAAAAGTTTAACTCTAAATCATCTATTATTCAGTACTAGACACAAAAGTCTACATAAATGACATTGCAGTAAAAGGGTCAAAAGCATTGTGTTTACAACTTCCTTAGGTATTCTACTATATTCTATTCTTCTATAGCACAAACATATCTGTCTCTGAGGGCCGGGATTTAGTTCAGTGGCATAAGCATCTGCTTGGCAAATCCAACGTTTTGAGTTCAATCCCTGGTACCAAAAAAAAAAAAAAAACAAAAAAAAAAAAACTCTATCTGGTTGACCAATACCTCCTACAACAAAAATATTGTCAGCAAGCTAGGCTTTACTATTATGCTGTCTTTCTGTAAAACTACTACTGAAAATACTGAACCTTACTATTGACCAGTGACTTCTGTATAAGTGAACTCAACCCAATAAATTCATTTCTGATTCCGTATTGGACAAATTTTTGTGTTTTTATTACTTTACATCCTTAACATTTAGTTTTGCCAGTAATGTTAGCCTTTTTAGTGAGTACACTTTGGCATCTAATTGTGGTTTAAATATGTGTCTCTCCAATGATCAATCAAGTTGAAAATCTTTGCATGTTTACTCTATTGTGAAATGTTTACTTCAATATTATCATCATAATTATATTTCTAGCCATGTATGGTGGCACACTCTCCCAGTACTTCAAAGGCTGTGACAAGAGGACTACTATAAGCTTGAGGCCAGCCTGGACTACACAGCAAGATCCTTTCTCAAAATATAAAAAATATAAATGTATTTCTATAAACTTTTAAGGTACCCAAATTATTAAGATGAGATATAAATTATCTTTTAAAAATTAAAATCCCACTGACTATGGTGGCATGAACTGTAATACCAGCATTCAAGAGGCTGAGGCAGGAGGACTGCCACGAGTTCACCCATAGGAAGAATGTCTCAAAAAATAAAATTAAAATCCTTCCTTGCCAAAACATTGACTAGCCTCTTTTAGCTACTGCTGAATTTCTGAGAAATCACTTTCTTTTGGATCAAAATCCTACTTTTACTGTTTTAATAGTTGTGATGCTTAGAGCAAGTTATTTTCCTCTAAAGACTTATCTTTCCCATCTACAAAAGGATTAATTTATATAATTTCTAAGGCACCTTCCAGCTTTCATGTATTAAGATCAAGCACTCCCACACATACTCTTCCTTCTGTCAAACTCTCTACTACCTAAACTCTACTACCCACCACTCCTTCATATACCACTCCTTTTCTCATTCTATGAATCTTACCTCTTTGAGTTTTTCATCACAGAGATCCAGCATGGATTGAGAGATCTGGGTCAATGAATGTTTAGGCCCTAAAGAAACAGTAAAAAATGAGCCCATTAAAAATAGAGGTGAAGCCAGGTGTGGTGGTGTATGCCTATAATCCCAGCACTCTTGTGGTTGAGGCAAAAGGATCACTGCAGATTTAATAGTTGTGATGCTTAGAGCAAGTTAGCCTTGAGGGAAGCCTGGGCTACACTGGGCTTAAGGCCAGCAGTGAAAACTACATAGTTGCAAACTATGTAGTTCTGTCTAGAAAACCAAGACAAAAAACCCCTACCTAATACATAGAAGTTAAGTTTAGCTGTTGGGTTACACAGATACACCAGTATTATCTCTATTTTTCAGTGTCTAACACATAACAAGTACATAACATAAATAAATAATTTTATTATTTGTGTGTATCCATAACCCCATAGTATTACAGTTGCCTTTAACTTTTTTTTTGGGGGGGGGGGTACCGGGAATCAACCTGAGGACCTCATGCTTGCTAGGTAGGCGCTGTGCTGCTGAGCTGTATCTCTGGCCTATAACTGCCTTTAATATCTTGAAAATGATTGTGCACATGGGAATGAAAAATTTTAAAAAGATGACAAAAAAAATCAATGATTGATTTATAATTTTTCCACACTTAATACAATTTATAATTGCAATTTATTTGTAAAACTTGTGATGTATGATGTTCTCAAGTCTGGCTAAACCAAAGCTTTTATTATAAAATAATTTTCTTTCTTCATGTGTCATATTATTATTCCATTTTCCCTGAAATCCTTATAGTTTCAGAAAATCCTTGAACCATCTGACCTATCTTTTACTCCCTGAATATGCTTGTCCTATGTTAATCTTATCTTAGGAATAATTAAAACAATTTATTTAGTCAGTATTTCTACTTCTTTCAGTCTTTACTCATGTTAATGTTTTCCAGAACCTAAACCTCAAGCTTATTCTCAACTACTATTTAATTCAGCATTCATTTGATTATTCATTCAACACGTTTAATGACTAAAACTGAATTCTGATTTCATTGCTGCTTCCCCAGAAGAGATAAGAGCACGTTTCTGAGTATTCTGTGCTTTTGAGCTTAGAACTATTTCTCACCTGTAAACATAAAGCAATTGTTAGGGATGTTTAGGAACCCCACTGCAGTGTTGTACTGTCATGGGAAGGGCTGGAATTGCATGGTATTTACGTGCAGTATAAAGGATTTGACTTATTGGTTCTTAATACAAAATTTATTAGAACTATTAAAAAGAAAAAAGATTGGCCAACTGCTGACAAATTGTTAAACTGTTGATAGGTGCACTGAGGTTTATTTTCTCTCTACTTCCATGTCTAAAAGTTTCTATAATAAAGTTTTAAAATTTTGCCAAGAAGTACAGGTAACTTATGAACAGGTAAAATGTGGTACTATCTATATAATGAAATATTATGTTGTAATATAAGAAAATAAAATATTGACTTTATTTATATGGATGACATGTTGAAATTGGTGTTTTTTGTTTTGATAGCACTGGGGAGTTGAACCCAGGGCTTCATACATGCTAGGCAAGCATTCTACAACCCAGTCCTTTTCCACTTGATTTTTGAGACTGGATGACATGTTGAAATTGGTGTTTTTTGTTTTGATAGCACTGGGGAGTTGAACCCAGGGCTTCATACATGCTAGGCAAGCATTCTACAACCCAGTCCTTTTCCACTTGATTTTTGAGACAGAGTCTCACTATATGTTCAGGCTGGTCTTGAACTTGCAAACCTCCTGCCTTAGCCTCCCAAGTAGCTGTGGCACACACCTGTAATCCAAGCAGAGGCTGAGGCATGAGGATTACTGAGTTCAAGATCAGCCTGAACTATACAATGAGACCCTGTATAAAGTCTTCCCACCAAAAATCTCAGATTTTCTTCCTCTTTGCCTTTTTAGCTTTTTTTTTTTGGTACCAGGAATCAAACTCAGGACCTTGCACTTGCCAGGCAGGTAGGTGCTTATGCTACTGAGCTATATCCCTGGTCTTCAACCTTTTCAGCTTTTGAGAAAACTAAGCATGTAATTTCTCCTACACCAAATCTGTGAATGTGAATCAGACATACACAGCAAATATGATCACAAGCACATACTGTACTATGCATAGACTCTCTCCCCACTGAATGCATCTCTTTTCTACTTACCTGGGCCTATTTCTTTATTCCACAATTCTCTATGAGTTCACAACATTCAATATAGGCTCCAAATTCTCTAGAGGATACAGCAACAAATACCAGGAATAGAAGGAAGCAATATAGGGCTGGGGATTTAGTGGTACAAGTGCCTGCCTGGCAGACGCAAGGTCATGAGTTCAATTCCCAGTACCAAAAAAAAAAAAAAAAAATCACAAAAAGAAGCAATATATAATAAATGACATAAAATGTAAATAAATTACCTGATTTTCATACACACAATCACACCAGTACACTGTAGTTCTTTCACTCAGTTTGATCTAGTCTGATTTTAGGACCAGTAAGGGATAATTAAGGATGTGAGAAGTGACTTTTGCACCAAAGGAACGAATGAGCTTTACCATTATAGGTTGCACTGTTTTTCACAATTAGCTCCAAATGTTCTCTGAACTCTTCCCGAGATGGGTAGAGACGCTTGCGTACATTTTCACGGAGTGTCTGCAGATCCATTGGTCGAGTGATGATTTTGTAGTAGTCTTTTACAACTTTTGCATTGACTGGAGTGTGGAAAGGGTAGGTCTGTGAAAACAGTCAGAATCATGAGCAAGAACACTTGTCAAAGCCAATACTGGAAGACTGACATTTCACCCATCTACCTGGCCATTAACACTCTAAGGAATCTTTTTATATGGAACAGGTCCATTTCCTCTACTAAACTACTGAAAACAACTACAACAAAAAACAAACACCAAAAAACTATATCCCAAAAAATCAGGAAGTATGCTATTGCCCTCTATATATCTGAAATCACAGGTAAAACAAAAAGGCCTTGCTATCCCAACTGTACATATTTGATGCAATGAACTCACATTTGGAAGATCTCTCATATCATTGATGATAGACTCCAAGATGGATGACAGTGTTACCATAGGGTCTGTTCGGCGCCGGTGGATGGACTTATGAGGTCTCTAAGAAACAAGGAATCATAATGCTTTTGACCAAAAACTGAACATTTTCTGTGTAGATATATTCAGAAATCATATAGTGAATAACATGCATAATGCTTAGGGAAAGTTTACAAGGAGTACCTCAGGTTGTCAAAGCCATGTCACAGAAGGAGAGAGACCTTAATGAAACCCTATCTGATTAGAAAGAGGCAATGTAGACACTCACATTCAAATAGTCACAGTGAACAGTAGTTCCAACCCGCCGTTTCTTCTTGGGAGGAAGCTGCTGTTTAGGGAACTTAAGAACCAGAGATTTTCTGCGAACTTCATCAGCACTGCAATTAATAAAATTTTTATAGCATGGATAATAAAAGGAATTAAGTTGTGTTACATATCAACTCCACACAAGCAATGTAAGCATGTACCAACAAAGGGGGATTGAGAGATGGGGAAGAGAGAGACAAACTTCCCCCAAGGAATATAAACATTATATACTATATGCATATACTAATAAACTAAACTAAAACAAACATATATTTCCTAGTTCTGTTCACCAAAAAAGCTTAGAAATAATGACATCTCAATGGTAAGATCAGATCTAAAATACCTCTAAATACCATTCCCTCCAAAAAAAGAACAAGGTTCCTTAAGAGAAACAGCTGGTTCTAGGTCTAAGACAAGGAAAATCCACAGTTCCAGGAAGCAGACATTCTCAAAGATTTATAGGGTCATTTCAAAAGAATACAGGATTTGGCTTTAAGTCAAATTTAGGACATTAGACACCAAAATTAATGATGTTGTCAGGAGTGGTGGCACATGCCTATAATCCTAGCACTTGGGAGGCTTAGGAAGATCGCTATGAGTTCAAGGTCAGCCTTGGCTAACAGTGAGCTCAAGGACAGGCTTAACTACATAATGAGACCTTTTCTCAAAAAACAAAAAAACCAAAAGATGCTAATTATAGTACACTAAATTAAAGGAAAAATTTCAGAACCCATAGTAATACTTTAAGGGAAAGATAGAAGCTTTTCTTTGTAGAAAAATTCCAGCTATTGTTGAGAAATGTTGGATTTAGAAAACCCACCTTTTTTAACCCTCAGTGAAATAACTGAGGGAGCAATCATCAATGAGTGAACTACTAAATTTAGAAGACTAGTGTATTGTGTTCTTTCTTCTTTTTTTTTGGTGTTTTTTAAAAAACTATTTATTTATTTATTCTTTTTGAGACAGGGTCTTTCCATGTCATTCAGGCTGAACTTGAGCTCACTGTATAGTCCAGGCTGATCTCAAACTGGCAATAATCCTCCTGCTTCAGCCTCCTGATGGGATTACAGGTGTATGCCACCACACCCAGCTCCTGCCTCAGCCTCCCAGAGTGTTGGGATTATATGCATAATCACCTTACTGTATATTCACCTTACTGTTCACTTTACTCATAATTTAACTTAGTTCTTTGAACTTATTAATAATAACTACTTTGGGGGCTGGGGATTTAGCTCAGTGGCATAAGTGCCTGTTCGATCCCTGGTACCGGTAAAAACGAAAAAGCAAAAAAAAAAAAAAAAAAAAACTACTTTGAAATTTTTGCCTATTAAACTATCTGGTGGTTCACACAAGTGTGTGTTGTCTGGCTTCTTTCTGCACAGGGTTTTCTTCCCTTAAGCTCATTTGTGTAGCTCAGGCTCGTCTTGAACTTGCAAGGATCCTTTTGTCTCAGCCTCTTGAGTGCTGGGATTGCAGGTATTTTGGTGTTTTTGAGACAGGGTTTTGTTATGTAGTTCATGCTAGCCATACGTGATCTTCCTGCATCAGCCTTCCACATGCTTGGATTACAGGTATGTACCACTGTGGCCAGCAAAATTGTTTTCTTTCAACTTTTTTATAGGTTTGGAATTTTCAAACTAAGCAAGAAAAATCCTAAAACTTCTCCATTTTATTGTCAAACTCCCTGAGGCTAAAAGACATATGTATATATAGTTTTTGTTTTCTCAACCTTTTTGGACAATCTATTAGAACAGACATTAGGGATCCTGCAATTATTACAAATGCCTAGAAGCAGAATAGGAAAAGAGAATTAACATCTACTGGCATCTACTATATGCCAGGCACTGAAATATTGTACTTTACCCTCTCATCATACCTCATTAACTAAGCTGGTAAAGAGTGGTTTTATTTTTATCTACAAACTAAGACAGAAATGTTAGGTAACATGCCCCAGGGCAAGTAGTACAACCTAGTGAATGTTGCTATTTTCATTACTGGCAAACATTATTGCGCAAACTCCAAAGTTCTTGTATCAGTTCCACTTCAGAGAACACTATCACATCTATCCCTGCCACTCCCCAAAATCATCAGCCTCTAACATATCTCTCCCATACAATTTCCTGCTGCTCTTACCTCTCAATTAACTGTTTCCCCAAGACAATCTTGGTCCCTTCAACCTTGATAAGTTCTTCATTATCATTATGAATGACTGTCTTTTCCAACTCCTCTTCCTGTTCCTCTGTCATGGCAACGGGATTGGAAGGTGGAGCATTTGTTTGGTAATAAAGGGGACAGAATTTGTTTGTCCTCATGTGCCCAATGGCACCGCATGCTCCACATTTTAGCTATAAAAGGAAAAATATCAACATATCAAGATATAAGCAGGCTAAAATATGTCAGAGGTAAGCAGATGAAGAAAAAGTAAAGGCAAAAGAGAAACAAGGACAGTTTCAGAACTTTCATTCCAATAGAATGGTTATACATCTATATAGATGCCACTGGACAAAAGTCTAATAATGGAAATGACACATAAAAGATAAAATCCAGAGACTAAATATTTCTTTAAAAAAAAAATCAAGTGAGGAATAAAACCAAAAAGATTTTGATGAACTGTGAAATATTAAATCTGCAGGTCAATGGTAACTGACATCCAAGCACAATGAGCTATCCAAGGTAGAATTTCATAGTTAAAAAGGAAAAGGCTCAATGGTATCAAATCTCCGTCTCAGTTTTTCAATCAAGTGGCTCTGGTATACTACAACTCAGTTTCATTATAAAATGGGACCAACTTCATATCACAATAATCTAATATCACATATATAAAGGAACATTAAACATTTAATGACTTAAGTACATGTTAATTGCATATTACATTTGTTGAATACAAAAAGTGCTTTCCATGACTTACTTTAATACAATACTGTGACAGACTATTTATTTTTCTTTTTGAGACAAGTGTCTCTCTATGCAGTTCAGGCTGGCCTTGAGCTCACTTTGTAGCACAGGCTGGTCTCGAACTTGAAACAATCCTCCTGCATCAGCCTCCCAAGTGCTGGGATTATAGGTGTGAGCCACCACACCTGGTGAGAGACTATTATTTTATAGAAAACAGGTTTAGACAGATAAGGTCACCAAGCTACTAAGTGGCAAACCAGAACTGAATCCAGATCTTGTTTCCAAATTCATGGCTCTTTCCACTGTACCACAGTGGCTTCATCTTATGGTGCCCTTTACAGTCACACTGCACAGTAATGCCTAAAGTCCTAAATTGCTTTTTGTTTGTTTTGTTTTGGTACTGAGGATTAAACCCAGAGCCTTCACACTAATCTATATTCTAAGCCCTTTTATCTTTTGAGATAGGATCTTGCTAAATCACTAAAGTGCCTAGATTGGGATTGAATTTGCAATCTTTCTACCTCAGTTTCCCAGAATGCTGGGACTAGACATGTACCACCATGCAGAAGTCCTCCCTAAGTACAAAACAATTTAAATCCTATATGTTTTAGTTTTGTTGCCTTTTGCCCATAATACTGGGAATTGAGCCCGGGGACACTCTTGAACTACGACCCCAGCCCTCATTTTTTATTTTGAGATCACTGCCCAGGCTGGTCTCAAACTTGTCAGACAGGTGCTATGCCACTGAGCTTTTATCCCTGGCCCTTCAAACTTGTCATCCTCCAGCTTCAGCTTCCTGAGGAGCTGGGATTACAAGTGTGTCTCATGGTGCCTGGATTGTTGCTTTTTAAAATATGTGTAGTTTTTTAAAAAGCAGGAGATATAGCTTAATGGTAGCATGCTTGCCTAACATACATGAGCCCCTAGATTTTACCAGCGGTTTTATTCTGCTTCCTCTAACAGGGCAACAGACAATTCCAAGGCAAAAAAAAATTTTTTTCAAATAAAGTATAAATGACATCTGATGAAAACAGTGACACCAGGCTGGGTCTGGTGGCAGTGGAACCACTCACACTATCACTGATAACATCCAAATTGCCACAGCAATGCAAACTAGCTTCCCACAATACCGCTGTCATTCTCAGTAAGGGAGGATAATGAAAACTAAGGAAATCCGGGTATGGTGGCATACTCCTATAATCCCATCAATCGGGAGGCTGAGGCAGGAGGATTGTTGCAAGCTGGAGACCATTCTGGGCTACAAAGTGAGCCCAAGGCCAGCCTGAACAGCATAGGGAGACCCTGTCTCAAAAAGGCAATAAAGAAAGAAAGAAAGAAAGAAGAAAGAAAGCAAGCTAAGGAAAAAGGTATGCTTGCTTGGTTTTGTTAGTGTTTGTTTTGTTTTGTTTTGTTAGTTGTGATTTATCCCACATTACACTTACTTTTAGATCAGGACGCTCCTTCATTTTTTTGGGCTTCTTCTCAGGGGGACCCTTAAGCTTCTCTTTTTCCTGGTTCCGCTTAAGCCTCCTTAACTGTTCTTGAATCCTCCGTCGCTCTTTTCGCATCTCTTCTCGATGCTGTTCATCAAAAAGGGCAAATTTTCGACTGAAGAGAAGGGGAAAGATCATAGGACCATAAGAAACCTAAACCAAGAAAACTGTCCTAATAGCTAACATCACAGAATTAAAATAATCAACCAGGCTGAAATAAAAGGGAGTATCTGTCATTCTCAACACTCTTGCTAGTCAGCCCTTCATCTGAATAATTACTTTTTTTTAAGAGTAGGAAAATTTATTTGTGAAAAGGAATAGCTCCTGAGACAGGAGGTGTCCTACATGGGTTGCCAATGAGCCTCTCTCTCAAAGGAAGTTTTATAAGAGCAAAATCATAAGGCAGGTACAATGTAGGTCAAAATTATGATCAATCAATTAAAATTACAAGTATAGTTGCTTAGGCAACATTGATCTAATGGTAGCAAGGGTATATGGGTGACATCATTAACCTTGGCCAATAACCTATGTGTTACGTCTTGTTTTTAGTCTTAGTCCTAGTGGTCTTAGTCTTAGTAGGTGGGGGAGGATGGCCCACCCCTAATAGGGTAATGGAAAATCTCAAAAGGGTGACATCAATAATCCCAAGTCTCCATTCATCCTTTAGGGAGGTATATAAAACACTGAATTTTAATCTTCAGAAGTGCCTTCAGCCACAGTCCTAATGCATTCTCATCTCCTCATGGGCCTATTACATTTCTACCTTGCATAGTTACTTCTTATAATAAGTACTAAGCAATCCCTAACTTTACAAACCAAACAGCCAAATGCAAAAAACACTGGCAAAATATGATATGCCTTTATTTTGTAGCAAACATGAATTTTCCTGGTGATATGGCTCTGTTCAAACCCAAAGATATATATGATTCCCAATTATGATAGATTTCTAGGGACAACTATGCAGAATCCTGTACCTAAAACTCAAGCAATGATCTCTTCTCCATTATTATTCTCACTATCATAATTGAAAGTGGTAAACAAAACTCACATGAATTCCTCATCCTTTGTGGTGCGTATACGCACATAGGCATCTATGACAGCTGGTTTTCGGACTGTCTCACAGCGAACATACTCTTTCCCTTCTTCATCTCGAAATGTGCGATAAATCTTGAGACAGCGACCAGTGGCAGAGGAGTTAAGGCTAGTCACAGAAGCTGTATCATCATCCCTGTGATTGTTTCCTGATGCTGCTGAGCCTGCTACTGCAAGGCAGAAAGAGATTTCTAAACATTTCTCCTTCCACCTAAGTGGCTGTTTTCTTGGTGTTGAATGGAGACATTGAATTCAACATGCCACAGAACTATGACTTTAAAGAAAGCATGGGGGGAGGGCCCAGGGCTTTATCTCAGCAGCATGGCAAATGTGAGGTCGTGAGTTTGATCCCCGGCACCAAAAAAAAAAAAAAAAAAAAAAAAAAAAAAAAAAAGCACCAGGGGCTGGGGATAAAGGTCAGTGGCCTGGTGCCTGCCTGGCAAACTTAAAGTCATGAGTTTGATCCTCAGGATCCCCCCCCCCCAAAAAAAAAAAAGGCATCAAAGTCACTACCAGCTCAGTCCAACAAGACTGACTTGTCCTTTCCTGGTTTCATTTTACCACTGTTAGTTTTCATCTTTATAAACACAAAAGTTACCAAAAATCCTCAAAGAACTACATGTCTGCAAGAGGAAATAGAGAAGTAGCAGTTACATTCTGATTTCTCTCAGTAACAGGGCAATAGAAAATTCCAAGCAAGAAGTTGATGATAAAAACACCCAAGTGAGTACCCAGAGAAGAAAAATGACATCATAAATACATGTCCAGAATATTAAGGCCTACTATGTATTTCTCAAAATTTGTATTTTTTTGAGACAAGATCTCACTATGTAGTACAGACTGCTTTTGAGCTCACTAGGTAGCCCAGGCTGGTGATCCTCTTGCTTCTCTGCCACCTGAGCATTGGGATTACAGGTATGTACTACCACACTAAACATCTTATGCTTTTTGATCCTTTTTTTTTACCTCTGTGAAGTCACTATCCTTACCCAGTAGCATTCTCTGTAGCTCCTTCCGCTCCTGCTCCTCACGTTCACGTGACAGCTGAGAACTGGTTTTCTTGTTCTGCAACATGTTCTCAATATTCTTTCCCATTTCTTCAAAGTCACTGTCTTCAGCTGAGCTGCTGTCTGTGTCAGTTGATAAGACTTCAGTTGATGACAAAACCCTAAAAAATATTAAATTAAGACAAAGAAAACCACAAAAGTATAGAGACAGCTAGAGAGAACAGGGTTGTAGGCAAAAGTAGAAAACTGGAGAATCAACCTTAAAAAAGCATACTCAAAGTCCACTAAGAAGCTGGGCATGGTGGCACATGCCTATAATTCCAGTACTTGGTAGACTGAGGCAGGAAGATTGCTGTGAGTTCAAGGCCAGCCTGGGATACATAAGCTAGTTCAGGGCCAGCCTGCACTACACAGTGAGTCCTTGTCTCAAAACAAAACAAAACAAAACAAAACAAAACAAAACAATAAATAAATAAAAATCCACTAAGAAGTACCATAGGACCCTTTATAGGAAAACTTTATTAATAGTTTTCACAGATATTTAGTCAATGAGGAAAGTTTACAACATTGCTATAACTTGTACAACTCCTGGAGAGGTGAGATACCAGCATACCAGTCACTTAAAAAAAATTTTTTTACAATGCTCATTTTTAATGGCACATCACTATTTATCTCACAACTAAGCTTTCAGAAAAAAACCTCTGTCACCTGTTACTGTTGTTACACAGCTGTGAGGTCCAGACCAAGAAGACAGTAAGAGTTGCCCTGGAACCTAGACCTCAAGCCTATCAATTCTTGACATTCACACAATTTATGCCAAACTGTTTTCAAGGGAACAGGCATTCTAGCAGCACTATAATAAAAATATACTACAGTAGTATCTCAGATACCAGATTACCTAGTCATATTCTTAAGTGATCTTCTCTTCATTATAAAACAGGGAACAGAGGCTGCAGATGTAGCTTGATAGCAGAGAACTTGCCTAGCATGTCCAAGCGTTTGGGTTCAATCCTCAACATCACAAAAATAAAACTGAACTAAACAGTATCTGGGACCTTTCTCCTTTCCAGCTTGAATTTTCTGCAGTACATTAAAATAACATACTTGTTCTGTAGGTCAAAGATGCGTTGGCATTCTTCTTTGTAACGCTCTTGATGTTCAGCAACAGAAAATCTTGATCCACGGGCAAATTTACTCATGGGGCCCTCTCCAGAGCGGGCCTGTTCCGTTGACATTGTGCGCACTACATCAATCACTTCCCAGCGGGACAACTTTTTAATCTATGAGACATATGCACAAATTAAAATATATGTATTAGGGATTTTAAAGGACAAAATGAGGTATGTGATTAGTGACAGATAAAACAAAAATTATCCAAAGCAGAGTAAACAGAAAAGTTTCAAGAAAGGTAACTCCTGAAAAGTATCTAGAACCTATCATAATCCATACCACAAAGTTCTCTAGATAGTTCCTTACAACTGCCTGCTAGCCTCTCCCCCCATACTCAAAGCTTCCAAGAGTTCCCAAGTTTCCCTCTTCCACACCCACCTCTTCCTCAGGCACGCCAAATTTACGCAGAAGTTGCTTGGCATTTTTCAGAGAAAGGCGACGAAGATCTGCATCTGTTCCAGTCACTGTCTTCTTTACTGGCTGAGGTTCTTTATCATCCTACCTCAAACAAAACCCAGTTAGTATCCTAAAGTTGAACTGGAGTTTGAAGCCAGGCCCTTTTACTGAACTACATCATCAGCCCTTTTTACATTTTATTTTGAGACAGGGTCTTACTAAATCCCTAAATTGCCCAGATTACGTTTGAACTTGTGATTCCCTCCTGCCTCAGCCTCCTAGAGTGCTGGAATTTCAAGTGTGTATCACCATACCCAGCACTAAGAAGTTGAACTATTCATATTAGGTGTCTAACTCATTCTACCAATTCCATTGCTTTCCAGATCCTCCACACCATCTCCACTTCTAAGTACTTTTTAAATTTTCTCCTCCTAGAAATCCAGACAATCTTACCTTCTGCTGTGTTGGTTTGTTTGGAATTTTCACGTAGGAGAATCCTTCACCACAACCTGTGGGATCTGCCACCCCAGTCACCTCCAGTAGACACTTGCCCTTCATGGCAGCAATGAAAGCTCTTGTGGTGTTCCAAGGAGCAGTACGAACCTGTATAAAAAAAATTTTGAGGGATATAAGAAACCACTGTTCTATGTTTAGCCATTACCTAGAAAGGTAGAATAATTACAATGAATAATTTCATACTTTCTTAATGGCTATGTAGTACTCAGCTTTCTTCTTCCCTGTGGTACTTAAAACATGGTATTAAATAGAAATCAAATCATGATATTAAATAGAAATCAAGAGTTCAACCAGGTTAAAGAATAAGAATGGTGGTGTTGGGGCTGGGGATTTAGCTCAGCGGCATAAGCGCCTGCCTTGCAAGCAGGTAGTCATGAGTTCAATCCCTGGTACCGAAAAAAAGAATAGTGGTGCCTTTCAGCCCTATATCCCTAAAACTTAAGTGAATGAGCACTCTCAATCATAGTATTGCCCCCATATTCACCATGCTCACAGCTAGAAGGATAACTGCATTGGATTATCTAATTGTTCAGGTAGATTCTTTAAAATATAGTTTGCTTTCAAAAGCACTGGTCCCAAATCTAGTAGCATTAAACCAATGCCCATTCTACCTCTGTCACTGGTCTGGTCAAAAAGTATTTACCGGAGCTGGGGATTTAGCTCAGTGGCATAAGCACCTGCCTTGCAAGCAGGTGGTTGTGAGTTCAATCCCTGGTACCGATAAAAAAAAAAAAAAAGTATTAATGAACCTACAAAAACATTTGAGAATTAAAATAAGGGGTCAATGTGCTTATCTACACAGACTAGTCAAAAGCACACATGACCTGTATGAGGCCCTGGGTTTGATCCTCAGCACAGGGGAAAGAAAAGAAATATACCTGATTGGCTAGAAAATGGTTAACTCTCTATTCAAGATTTAATTATGAAGGCTAATCAAAATAATTGTTAATTTACGCAATTCTTCCACTAACTTTTCATTTTCATCTCAAAAGTATAAGATGTTTTATTTTTAACTGATATATAATAAAAAGCTGCATAAATTAATGGGGTATCATGATGTTTGGATATATCTATGTATTGTGTAATGTTTTAGATTAAATTTATCTCCTCAAATATCTATCATTTCTGTACACTGAAAACAATCAAGATACTTCTAGCTTCACTCTGACCTCATCTTGTGCTTCTTTTTATAGACATTTACTCCTTTAGCAAATGGTTATTGAATAACTACTATATGATAGGGATTACTTTTTCATGGACCTTATTCTGAGGTGAGGGAAAACAACAAGTTCAATAATACTACATGATCAGCACCATGATGAAAGTAGATGTGGGCCAGATGTACATATTTGGGGGCTGAGGTACAGGATCATTTTGAGTTCAAGACCAGCCTGAACTACATAGCTAGTATTTGTCTCAAAAAGGAAAAAAAAAAAAGGAAGGAAGAGATACAATATGCACACAAAGAAGGGAAGGATAATCATCCGATCTGAACCCAGAGAATAAGATCCAGAGTCAGGATCAAGGGCATGATGTTGTACACTGGTAACACCAGCACTTGGGAAGCTGAGGCAGGAGGATCGCCATGAGTTCGAGGCCAGCCTGAGTTACACAGTAAGCTCCAGGCCACTCTGAACTACACAAGGGGATCCTGTCTCAAAAAAAAAAACCCTCCCCCAAAAGTCGGGAAGCTTCTAGAAGAATACAATTTGCAGATGAAGTTCATATAATACAGAAACAAAAGTATTTCGGGTAAAGGGGTAACTGTTTAAAAACTCTCAAAGGCAGGAGAAAGAAATTCAGAAAACAAATTTCAGTACGTTTAATGGTTACAGACAGGCAATGACAGGAGATGGAATCATGTAGAGCTTTGTAAATCATATCAAGAATATCTTTTTTAAAAAAATGAATTGGACATGGTGGCACATGCCTGCAATCCCAACACTTGAAGATGGAGGCAGGAGGACTACCATGAGTTTAAGGTCAGGTTGGACTGTATAAACCCTATCAAAAAAAAAAGGATGAGATAGAAGACAGAGAAAGTTTCTGGATAGGAAAGTTACATAATCAAATTTTTGTTTTAAGAGAGATCATTCAGCTCTTCGGGGTGCAAACAAGGGACAGTCACATGGTAAAAAAGAACCTTAATCTGTACCTTGTAACTACCTCGAAATGACTCAAACTGGATCTACATATTTTTTTGAGACAGAGTCTAAGTCACTAAGTTCTTAGACTGAATTTAAACTTGCAATTCTTCTTTCTCAGCCTCCCAGAGTGCTAGGTTTACAGGCATATATCAGCAAACTCAGTCTATTCTGCATATGTGTATGAGGAATTTAACCTAAGGCCTCTTTCATGCTGGCCAAGTACTCTAACACTGATCTACATCTCCAGCTCTCAAATTGGATCTAAAGGTTAAAATCTATAGAATGCAACTTTCTCTTTCACGTGCTCTCTTGCAGTTGACACACACAAAAAAATTAAAAATATAATAGAAAACACAGAAAAATTCTTGTAACTGAGGGTCTGACAAAAATTTCTTAGGTGTAACACCAAAGCCAAAAGTAACAAAAGAGGACAGGTATGGTGGTGCATGCCTACAATCCCGGCATTCAGAAACTGAGGTAGGAGGATCAAGGCAAGTTGGAGGCCAGTCTGGGCTACCGGGTGAGTTCAAGGCCACCTTGAACTACACAGTGAGACCCTGTCTCAAAACCAAACAAAAAATCAAACCAAAACAAACCAAAAGAGAAAGAATGCTGACAAGTTGAACTTTTGCTCTTCATAAGACATTTTTTGTTGTGTTTTGGCTTTTTTGAGACAGGATCTTGCTATGTTGTTCAGGCAGACCTTGAATTCTCTTTATAGTCCAGGCTGCCCTCAAACTGGTGGTGATCCTCCTCCCTCAGCATACAGTGTGTTGCGCTTCAGGGTGTGCATCACCATGCCCAGTTCGTAAGTCTTTGTTAAAACAATTAGAAGACAAGCCACAGACTGGGAGCTCTGAAAATCATCTAGATAATAAAGGATTCATGTAGAAAAAGAACCCTTGGCCTAGGGATATAGCACAGTATCTTGGCAAGTGTGAGGCTCTGGGTTCAATCTCTAATAGACACACACACACCCCAAGCAATTTTGCTGGGCATGGAGGTGCACATCCACAATCCCAGCACTTGAGAAGTTGAGGTAGGATTGCCACAATCCTACCTCAATGTCAGCCTGGGCTACATAGTAAGTTCGAGGCCAGCTTAGATTGCATAGAGAGATTCTGTCTCAAAAAAAAAAAAAAATCAAGCAGTTAAAAACAATGTACATCAAAGCAAATTACAAGTGGAAAAAAAGCAATGTACAGAAGAGCTATCTAGGTTAAAAAAAACCAAATGAAAAGACATCCTTAGTGGTTAGAAAAATGCAAATAATTTCTTTTTTCTGAGTTGAGGTCTCACTATTTTGTCCAGGCTGGTGCAGAAAGCCTAGGCTCAGGAGATCCTCCTGCCACAGCCTACCCAGTAAATGTGACTGCAGTCACATAACACAATACCTGCTTAGAAAAATATAAATTACTCAGCACTTGGGAGGCTAAGACAGGAAGATCACTGTGAGTGTGAAGCTGGCCTGGGCAACACAGTGAGCTCAAAGCCAGCCTTAACGACATAGTGAGACCCTGTCTCAAAAAAAGAATAAAAAGCAAATTAAAACCAGTGAGAGAACACATAATACCTAAGTGGGCCATTAAAAAAAAGGAAATAACAAACATTGTTGAACATGTAGTGAAACCTGAATACATTTCCACATTGCTGACAAAAATGTAAAATAATATAACCCCTGCAGAAAACGTTTCTCCAAAGGTTAAACAAGGAATTACTGTATCGTCACTCAGCAATTCCACTTTCATGTATCTATCCAAACAGAAAAAGAATATAAAATAGCTTTGTTCATAATAGCCCAAAATTGGAAATTAAAATGTTCTTCAAAGGTTACTAAACCAAATGTGATAGTAGTACCTACCATGGAACAGTATTAACAATAAGAAGAAACTACTTGAACACACAAGAACCTGGAGGAATTCATTTTGTTCACCAATGGTGCTAAAAAAACTGGATAGTCAATGCAAAAGAAAACAGTTAACTAGCCCCTTACATTCTAACATATACCAAAATTAAAACAAAGACCTAAATGGAAGAGCTAAAACTGTAACACTGAAGAAAATACAGCCAAAAAATGGAAACAATTCAAATGTCAATGAATGGGCCAGTGGCACAAGCACCTGCATGGTATGCCCAAGGTCGTGAGTTTGATCCCCGGTACAAAAAAACCCCAAATGTCAGTGAATGAATAGATAAATAAAATATGGTATATACATACAATGGAATATTAAAAGAAAGTTTGAGGCTAGGTGACTTGGCTCAGTCATAGAGCACTTGTGTAGCATAGGTGAAGCCTGGGTTCAACACACAAAAAATTAAAAAAAAATACTGTAACATGCTATGAACGAAGCTATAGGACACTACATTATTTATCAAGGGTAAAAACTAGCCAGAAATGACAAGTACCTTTGAGAAATTCACAAAAATAGAAAGTACTAGTCGCCAGAGGATTGAAGGAAGGAAAAACCAAAGGTTGTTAAAAAGGTTGTTATTTGATAGGTATGGTTTCAGGTGGGTAAGATAAAGAGCTGCGGAGACTGATTGTAAAACAATGTGAATGCACTTAACAATACTAAACCGTACAAGTAAAGATGAAGATGTTTGGTCAGAGGTGTAGCTCAGTGGTACAGCACTTGCCCAGCATGCACAAGACCCTCCAAAAATAGCAGGATATACTATGGCAACCATTTTTTATTTCCTATTAACTTAATTTGAAGTCCTATATTGTGTTCACTGTCTTGTTTTGACTGATTTCACTTGAATTTGTTTTGTTTGATAGTATCAAGTATGATGGTATAGGCAACTAGTCTGAAGACAGTAAGATCCACTATGATACCCACTCTGGTTTGTCTTTTATCTTCTTTTGAAGTTCGATAATGTCTCCAACGTTCAGTTTTTATTGATTTTGTTCTGTACTGTTTTGTTCAATTTTATTATGCCTGATGATGTGGACAACTCTTTTTTTGGTCTTTTTCATTTTTATCGGTACCAGCGATTGAACTCACGACCGCCTGCTTGCAAGGCAGGTGCTTATGCCGCTGAGCTAAACCCCCAGCCCCGTGGACAACTCTTTTGAAGCTAACAAGAGTATCTTCAATGGTAACCATTGTTGATCACCTTCTATTGTGGTTTTAAGTCATGTACTATGTCCATCCTTTTGTTTTGAGTGACCTCATTTTGTTTTGTCTCATTTGGTTTTATTCTCTTCAAAATAAAAAAGTAAGATGCTAAATTTTGTACTACATATACTTTACGTATTTTTAAAAAGCAAGCAGAAAGTGTACAACATCATTGATCTAAAATATATAAAGTAAACTACAGTGACAAAAATCAGATCAGGCCAGGTGTGATGGCACACATCCCATAATCCCAGCACTCTGCAGGCTGAGGCAGGAGAATCACCATGAGTTTAAGGCCAACCTGGGCTACATACACAATTCAAGCCCTGCCTGAACTACATAGTAAGATCCTGTCTCAAAAAAACAAAAAACTCCGACAACATAGATCAGTGCTTACCAGGGAATAAGTAGTGGGGAGAGAAAGGAGGAGGCATGACACTGGATTACAATGGGCCATAAAGAAACTTCTGAGGGTAGGGAAGGTGTGGTGACACATGTGTGTAATCCCAGCACTCTGGGAAGCTGAAGGAGGAGGATCAGAAGTTCAGAGAAATTTTGTGACTTAGCAAGACCTTGACACAAATTTTAAAAGGGGCTAAAGATGCAGCTGTGTGAAGACCCTGGGTTTAATCCCTAGTACCACCAAAATAAAACAAAACTGAAAATGACAAATCTGCTTACCACACAGTAAAGATCTCTCATTTCTCAGGTTTAAGCACATGCCAAAATATGTCAAATGATATACTTTAAACATATGCAACTTACTATGGGTCAGTTTTACCTCAGTAAAGCTGTTTCCTTTAAGAAGAGAACTGGAGGGATGGGGATTTAGCTCAGTGGCATAAGCATCTGCCTGGGAAGCGCGAGGTCATGAGTTCGATCCCTGGTACCAACAACAACAACAACAACAGCAAAAAAAAAGAAAAAAAGAACAGGGCATGATAAAACATGCCTGTAATTCCAGCATTTGGAAGGCTGAGGCAGGAGGATCACCTTAAACTAGGCCAGACTGATCTATACAGTGAGACCCTGTCTCAAAAATTGAAAATAAATCTAAAAAATTAAAAATAAAAAAAGATAAATGGGACAAAGGATGGAGTTCAGCAGTAGAGTGTATGCCTAATAGGCATGAGGCCCTGGATTATTTCCTCAGCACAAAAAAAAAAAAAAGGGAGATAGTAACTAAGATGTTATTTGGCACAATATAAGGTGGAAGTAGAAATGATCAAAGTATAGCTGGGCATAGTGGCACATGCCTGTAATTCCAACACTTGGGAGCTGAATTGGGTGGATCCTCATGAGTTTGAGGCAAGCCTGGGCTACATAGTGAGTTCAAAGCCAGCCTGAACTATATGTCAAAATGACCAATGACTATTCTATGACCAATACACACCAAAAAAATTAACCTACTCATTCAGTGAAAAAAGTAAGTATAGTCTTACTTCATCATCAATTTTCATCTGGAAATCTTCCTCATTTTCTTCTTCTGGAGCAAAAAAGGACTTTTCTCCATAGCCAGCATCCTGGAAAAGGACAATCCCACACAAAAATCAATTGAAAAACATAAAACATAGGTTTTACTGAATACCAAGTATAGAATATCAAAGCACATTTTGCAAGGAGAATGGATTCTATAACATCTCCACTGTATTTCACCACTGTATGTGGGAAAATATACTGCACTTGTCACATTCCAAGGAACTTAACTAGCTGATATATGGATAATTAAAGCCTGTAAAAACTAAGCAGAGACGTAGTAAGACAGAGCTATCCTGTGTCTCCCATGCTGGACCTTTTCTATTTTGGCCTTACAAGGATATTGTCCTTATCCCAACCATATTTCCAGCACTTATCATCATCTCTGCTCACCTGGGAGGCTGACAAGTACTTTCTCCGCTTTTATACTTTTTTAAAAAAAGTTTTATTGCTAAAAAAACTTTCAGAATTTCAAAACAAGGTAATAAGTGAGTAACAATAATTAGTACATTACACACTGTTATCTTCAGGATAGTTATTCAAGGTACAAAATATAAGACAAGACTTTGTCCAAAAAATATTAGCACAAACCTTTCTTTGCAATGTACTAAAAGAAACTAACAGTATATCTATCTTAGCTTACATATGTATTTTTTCCGTTTTCCTTTCCTTCCCTTCCTCTGTCCATCAGTTTCTCTTTTAAAGTTTCTTCCCAATTCATAATATTTACTTGTTCAGCTTCGCACACTAGTGAAACTATATGATGCTTACACGAGTCTGATTTATTTCACCTATGAGTAAGGCCTTGAGTTGAGCCCATTTACTTATCGCTGAGTAGTATTTCATTGTATTTAAAAAACACATCTTTTTTATCCATCCCTCAGTTGATGGGCATTTGTGTTGTTTCTGAGATTTTATGCTTCTCTTGCAAACAGAGTAATTGGATGAGCAATCATTTTCAAAGCAAAACAATATACTCCCTCATTAAAGCTTCCCACTGACACTAATATACACTGTAGTTTTCCCCAGAATTGATGTACACAGAAAGTACCTCATACAGGTTGAATTTTTAGTACTTGGTAATAATCTAGTAAACATCATCTGTAAGCCAATGAAAAGGAATCTTCTTTATTTCTGAAACTAAGGCAAAAGCAGTGTCTACAAAGAAGCTTCTCACCTTGAGTCGCTGCTCTGCAGCTATCATACTATAATAAGCACAGCACTGCTCTGGAGACACCATAGCTCTGATCTCCTCTTCCGTTGGTAAACGAAAATCAGACTTCAGCACCCACCAGTTAGAATCCATCCCTGGAAAAGACACACAGAGTTTTCAATTCTACAGACCCCAACATTCACTAACACTAGAAGGAGAACAGAGACTAAACAAAAGCAATGCCCTAGATAAAAAAATATGTAGCAACAGTTAAGCATGACTGTTTGGTCATCCAAACCCCCAATGCTAGGTTCCTACATCTCATATATAGATATCCAACAATCAAAATGAATTTCCTAGCAAGTAATTACCAAAAAAATAACCAAAGCCTCCATATAGTTAAAAGATTTGCTACCTTTTTCTTTTTTTTTTTATTCAATATTGGGGATTGAATCTAGAGCCTTCACACTAAGCCACATCCCTAGCCCTTTTATCAATTTTTATTTTTGATACAGGAGTCTTGCTAAGTTGCCTAGGATGGCTCAAATTTGTAACCTTCCTGCCGCTGTCTCCCAGAGTGTGATATCTCAGGTGTGTGCTACCACCCCCAGCCCTCTGCCTTCTCCTTTTAACAGTTATTGATTTCTATCTTTTTAGTTGCATGCTTATCTTTTAAGAAAAATTCATATAATTTTTTTAAATAAAAGAATTACACAGAAGACAAATAACTGGTCACACTGAGGACCTGTGCGTTTGAAGTCAGCACAGAGCTTTAGCCTCTTCCGTATGCTGCTTTCTGAATGAGAAGGAAAGGCTTTTTTAATATCTTCCATTCGTATCCGCCTTGGCCGATCTTTACTCTTCCAAAAGAGGCGGTAAATAAAGACCTGTCCAACAAACAAACAAACATATTTTAGGTAAAAGGATAAAAGTTCCCACTGGTGCCTCTTCCCCTGCTAAGCACCAATCTTTCCTAATGTACCCCCAAAATCCATACACTTTTTTCACGTACATCCAGGCCACCCCCCCCCCCCACTCCCCAAACTCCTGTTCCTACCTGTAGAAAGTCTCGAATATGTGTATTGGCTCTTTTGGAGTTTGGCCCAGGAACTTCAAACAAGGGACATTGCTGGCCAACCACAAATATATCCACCAATTCCCGAATATAGTAACCCTGTCTTGTCCGAATGATCAGAAAGTCTGTTTCTGGCATCTTATGAAGGTAAATCGGGGCACGAAAGAGGTTGTTCTCAAATGCCTAACAAAAGTAAAACCATAAAAATTACAAAGAAACTCTGTGAAGTTCAGTCAGCTAATGAGAAAGGAAGATCATGCTTGTTGCTCTCCACCTTCATCAGGCTATCTCATAAGGTCTATCCAATAAATGAATTACGATATAGAATACCACAATTAGACTTTTTTTTTACCAACTATCATTTAGGGTATTTGAGAATATAGGATTTTAACTCAGATGAGGCTACCTCTGCCATTCACTACATGAATATGTAAAATGTAAAACCTACCATGATCAAGTAGGATGCATCCTGGGGATGCAGGGATGGTTCAAACACACATGTTGTGGTTGGTGTTCCTGTGGCCCCACTTCAAGCCTCATGCAATGATAGACTTGATCAAATCTAGTGTTTGTGATTGGTTTCTTGTCTAGTACTCAAATTGGTGGTGTGAGTGTTTCACCTGTGCAGGAGTGGAAAGATGTCTCTCTTACCAGTGCGCGCCTTGCTGTTTGCAGCCGGCATGAATGATGGCCATCATATCACCCTGCCTTGGAGCCAACTGAGTATGGATTGAAACCTCCAAGAACTGTAAGAAACAAACCTTTCCTTCTCTAACTTACGGCGTCAGGTATCTTTTCTCAGAGACGAGTAAAAAGTAACTAAGACAATATGTAAACCCAAAAATAACATCATTTTAACAGAGCTAAGGACAATGGATGCAGAAAAAGCTTTTGACAAACTTCAGCAGCCATTCATGATAAAAACCATACAGGAAATTGGAATAGATGGTCTTTAACTCAATCTGATAAAAGCCACTTACTACAAACCAACAGCTAACATCATACTAAAGGGACCACAACTCAAAACAATCTCTCTAAAACCAGGAATAAGACAAAGATGTCGACTGCCCCTGCTCTTATTTAACATAGTCTTGGAAACTTTGGCAGGAACAATTACACAAGAGATAGAAATAAAAGGAATAGAGGAATAGAGTAAACTATCATTATGTACAGATGACATGATGCTCTACATAGGAAACTCCAAAAACTCCACTAAGGTCGGAGGGTTAGCTCAGTAGCACAAGCACCTGCTTGGCAAGTGCAAAGTCCTGAGTTTGATCTCTGGTATCAAAAAAAAAAAAACTCCACCAAAAGACTACTACATTTAATAAGCATATTCAGTAACACAGCTGAATACAAAGTCAACACACAAAAATCAATAGTCTTCTTGTATGCAAATAACAAATTCACTGAAATCAGAGAAATAAAACTTTTCAAAAATACATCCAAAAAAATGAAATATCTAGATCCATCTAACAAAAGGGGTAAAAGACCTCTACATTGAAAACTACAGTACTCTGAAAAAGGAGATTGAAGAGGATATTAGAAAGTGGAGAGATATCCCATGTTGTTGGGTAGGAAAAACCAATATAGTGAAAATGGCCATACTTCCAAAACTATTATACAGATTCAGTGCAATTCCGACCTAAATTCCAATAGGATATCTCTTAGAACTAGAGAAAACAATCCTAATATTCATCTGGAACCAGAAGAGATCTAGAATAGCAAAGGCAATCCTGGGCAACAAAGACAAAATAAAGGCATCATAATCCCTGACTTGAAATTATACTATAAAGCTACTGTGTTAACAACAGTGTATTACTGACAAAAAACAGACTTGATTAGAAGATGCAAAAACAACTCCAGACACACTAAGCCACATTATCTCTGACGAAGGTTTCAAACACATTCACTGGAAGAAAAATAGCCTCTTTAATAAACGGTGCTGGAAAAACTGGCTCTACACATGCCGAAGATAAAAACTGGAACCATATCTTTCAACATGTTACAAATTAAAATCAGAATGGATTAAAGAACTCAATACTAAAACAGAAACATTAAAGCTGCTGGAAGATAGAGTAGGTAAAACTCTTGAAGACATTTGTGTAGGCAAGGACTTCATGAACAAAATCCAGACCACACAGGACTATCACAAAGAACAACAATTAGGATTTCATCCTATTGAAAAGCTTTTGCACAGCAAGAGAAACCACAAAATTAGTGAAGAGAGAACACACAATGCAGGAGAAAATGTTTGCCAGCTGTACCTCAGACAGAGGATTACTATTGAAAACATATAAAGAACTCAAAAAAAAAATCAGTATTTCCAGATTTAAAGACTCAATCCAAAAATGGGCATCTGAGATAAATATACACTTCTCAGGTCAAGAAATACATTATGCAAAAAAATGTTTAACATCACTAGTCATTTGATACAAATTAAAACAACATTGACATCCCACCTCACCCCAGAAAGAATGGCTATTATCAAGAAATCAAGCAATAACAAATGCTGGAGAGGCTGTGAGGGAAAATGAACCCATCTCTATTGTTGAGGGGAATACAGACTGGGGCAACCACTGTGGAAATCATGTGGAGATTTCTCAAAAAAACTATAAGTAGAGGTCCCATTTGACTCAGGTATTCCCCTTCTGGGTACCTTCCCAAAAGAATTAAAAACATCATACCACAGTCATGTATGTACATACATATTTATAGCGGCATAGTTTGTAATAGCCAGATCTTGGAAATAACCTAGATGCCCATCAACTGAGGAATGGATTAAAAAAAGACGTGGTATTTCTATACAATGGAATACTACTCAGCCATAAAGGATAAACTGGAGATTTTTATAGATAAATGGATGCATCTTGAGAACATACTCACTGGTGAGATAAACAAGAGACATGTAAACATGGTATTGTTTTATTGTGAGAAGCTGGAAGAAAAAAACATGTATATGTATATGTGTATAAAAATAAGTTAAAATAGTTAAAGTGCTGATTTCTCTTCACTTAAAGAGACAGATTTGTGCTGGTACTGTTTGCACAATTGAATTCAGATGTTTTGTGCACTCGGTGAACGATTTAGGGATGACAATGTGCAATGTATATACCATTGTTGCCCCGATTGATGTGTTTTGAAATTTTGTTGTAGTTTCTTTTTGTCTTTTTAAAAAACCTTTTATCCTTGGAATAAAATGGGATTTGGGGAAAAAAAACTAGGACTAGAGGTCCCATTTGACCCAGCCATTCCCGTTATGGGTATCTTCCCAAAAGAACTAAAAACATCATACCACAGCAATGTATGTGCACCCATGTTTATGGCAACCTAGTTTGTAATACCCAGATCTTGTAAACAACTTAAATGCCCATCAACTGAAGAAGGGATAAAAAAAGGTGTGGCATTTTTATACAGTGGAGTACTACTCAGCCATAATGAAGGATAAACTCGAGACTTTTATTGGTAAATGGCTGCGACTTGAGACCATACTCATTAAGTGAAATAAGACACACAAGGGTAAACATTACATTGTCTCACTAGTGTGAGAAGCTGAAAGAAACAACATATGTTTACCTATTTTTAAGACAGTTACACTACTGATTTCTCTGAGTTCACAGAATAGAAATAATTGTGTTGCTATTGTTCTGACAACTGAATGTAGATGTCTTGTGTTCTTGGTGAATGATTTGGGGATGACAATTCACAATGTATTGTTGCCCCAATTGGTGTGTTTTGAAATTTTGTTTTATTTTTTTTTTCTTTTTTTCCCTCTTTGAAATAAAATGGATTTTAAAAATAAAATGTAAAGCCTCTTGCCAAAGGACCTCTCTATACCTATTAGAACAAAGGGCAAAAAGCAGCATTCACTATGGCAGGACTGTACATGGCACAGTTCAAGTGTGGCTCAGAGATGGGAGCATGTCTCAGTGACAGAAAGTTGCCTAGCATGTGTGAAACTCTCAGCTTGATCTCCAACACAGTAAATCCAAGGAAATATGAGTCAATACTCACAAGACCACAGGTAATTTTAATGAAAATGTACTAATTTTACGCACAGGATTTAACCATGTATACATTATTGTTAGGTTTACTTCCTTATGCCACCTAGATATTAGTGTGATTTCCAGGGTCTATTTTCAAAAAGCTATTTTATATGTAGCCTAAGAACAATACAATGGGGGCCAGTTTTTTGTTTCATTTTACTTTTAAGAGTAGGCACATTTATTGGAGAAAAGCAATAGAGAAAAGGAATAGCTCCTGAGAGACACAAGGAGTCCCAAATAGGTTGTCCAAAGGATCAGTTTTAAGAAACAAGATTTTAAGAAAATTTGGATTATACTGATATACCCAAAATTGATGTATGAATTGTATCTCAATCAATCAGAATTGGTTCTTTCTAGACTCACTCATCTGTCAATTTCCTTAAAAAAGAGGAAAAAAAATCCTTTACCTGTAGTAACTGTCCAGGATGGAGAGAGCCCAGGAAAGGAGATGTATGGCAGTAAACAGTTTCTCCATATTTACAATCTGGAGCTCCAGGATCTTTTCCAGGTTTCTATGAGAAACACAGCAAATTCAATTATTATCATAAAACATAATCAATAAGCCTACACATAAAATTCCACTAGTACAGCATTTACCAATATTACTACAAAGATCAATTTTCTCCTCCCAAATTTATAACAAGACAAAATGCATGTTCACAGTTAACACTAGACATCTAACTACAGCTATAATAGTAACAAAGCTTTTTCGGTAGAGACTCACTCGTTTATAATAGTTTTTAATTTTGGTTGCCATGCCAACTTGCATCATTAAGGGTCCATTTTCTTCACTGTATTCTGCAAGAATAAGATCTCCATCTCTGCCTGTGAGGTCCTGAGGTGTGCGCATAAAAAACATCTCTCCACCACCTGAAGCTTGCCTCTCTTGTTCTCTCATCTGTCCAGATAAAAAGAAAAATATGCCTCCTTACAGCAACTACACAAACTGGTATCATTTGCTCTGAGAAAAAACACACCAGAAAAAGATTTCTCAGCTGCTCTATAAGAACTTCTAAAACACATTAGTAAAGTTGAGCCATAGTAACTTCTTTTTTTTTTCTTTTTTGGTGGTACCGGGGATCAAACTCACGACCTCACACTTGCCAGTCAGGCACTTATGCCACTGAATTAAATTCCCAGCCCCACATTAGTAAAGTTGAAAGAACAGTACTATAGAGAAAGGGTAGTGGAAGGGAAAGTAAAAAGATGTGATAAAATGGGAAGATATGTTATGCATATGTACCAATTCCCCATGATGAATGACTGCAAACATATACTAAGAAAAATTTTCAAAATTAAAAAAAAAAAACAGCGCTATGAAGACTTATTATCCCACTATCTAGGTATAACTATACTTTTCCGTATGATAAATTTAATTATCTTTTCATGGATTCCACTGCGGCAATTTTGAAAACTGTCATCAAGATGATACTTTTGAGTACTTTCATATGCATCTCATAAGAATAAAGACATTCTCCTAGTGACCAAATTAACATTCTATGTCGGGTATGTTGGCGCACACCTGTAATCCCAGCACTCAGTTGACTGAGGCAGGAGTACTGACATGAGTTTGAGGCCAGCCTGAACTACGCAGTGAGATCCTGTCTTAAAAAAAAAAATTAACATTACATATGACAAACTGTATTTCCCTAATATTATCTAACATCTAGTAATTTCCCTACCTTCTACCACAATTATAACTATATTTCTTCTAACCAGGATTAAATTATACCTTGGCTTTCTTTTTGATGTGCTTTAGCAAAGGCTGAACTGAATGGGGACCTGGCTGAGACAGGGCCCCAAAGGAGTACTTTTTCAGTGGTGGGCGATGGAACTGCCGAAGTTTGATGGGTCCCATGTGGGTGGGAAAGAAGGGCTGACGTAATTCCACAGCAGGAATCGAGTGCTGAAACAGGAAACAAAAAATTTAAAATTAAATACTGACTCCAGCCCCGGCAAGATTTATCCATATTCTCCATTAGAACAAAAAGAGTGGGTTTCCTGCCACCAGAGCAAATATGCTGTTTGTACCTGAATGATATTCCCTCCAAAAGTACCTCGAAGACCCTGTTGCTTGGGGTAGTAATACTCATCATTGGAGAGATTCCACGGATCTTTCACTTCTGGCTGAGACATGTTCTAAAGACAGATCATCAAATTAACCTTAGACTACCCTTTTCTATTACCTTTCTCTGTTCTTCTAAACACTAAGCCCCTTTAAACAGACCTGCTGTGGTTCCTCCTTGATGACTCCTGTTTTCCCTAAAAGAATTCGACTCTTCTTTAGAGATGATTCTTTCTTACTCTCCTTGGAAGGGGAATTAGAAGTGGCCTCTTCTTTCTCATCAGGAATCTCTGAGGATGAACAAAAATGACTTTGGAACTGCTATCCCTGAAAATTCACATTTTCCACTGACAACTTTACAACTGCAAATTACATCTCTCATCCTGCCCTAGACACTTCTAATCTGCAATTCACTACATGCCTGACACTTTTTTCCAACCCAGAGATATTTGAGCACTGAGCTACATCCCCAACCATTTCTTTTGACATTCAGGCTAGTCTCAAACCTGTGAGATTTTTGTTTCAACCTCCAAAGTGACATGCCTGACATCTTTTTTATCAGTACATGTTTGCAACACATAATGAATACATGATAATACATAATGAATATTGGTACATTTTTATATCACATTTTACTTCTTTTTGCCTTCTCTCCCTCCATCTCTAGATCTCCCTCCCCACTTGCAAAGGGTCTCTCCAAATCCCCCTCCCATTTGCAAAAGGTCTATCATCCTGTTTGCTATTATCTTTTAGTTTGCTCTTTAAGTTATTTATATTTTGACCCAGGTATGGTGGTTGCACTCTTGTAAATAGCACTGTAGATGCTAAGGCCAACCTGATCTGTATCCCAAGACCCTGTCTTAAAAACAACAAAATAATTTATTCATACTTTAGGATTTTAATTATATGACAATCCATGTATTAAACTTCTGTGTCTGATTTATTACACTTAACATTCTCAAGGTGCATCTTTCTACAAATGACTCAAATTTATCCTTCCATTTGGCTAAGCAGTCCTCCAGTGGATACTACATTTTCTTTACCTATTCATCTACTGATGTACCTATAAGCCAATTCCACCCTGGTATCTTAACAAGGTTCTACTTTCTAAAATTCCTGAGTTTTCCCCTAAACAATACACAAATACTAGAAATTGACAGTCACAATTCTGCTATCTCAAACTGCTACCTAGGAGTTTCTTAATTTTATCCTTCTCCAACTCTTCTGATTTCCTCTTGCTCCTTGCCACTACCAACAAGCGGTCAGAGAGAGGGCTGGGGATGGGGATGTAGCTTAGGAGTGATTCCCTATGATGCAAAAGGCAAGGGTTCAATCCTCAGTACTACTGGAAAGAGTACAATGGAAAAAGAACACAGGCTTAGGAGTAACATACCCAAAATGAGGTTCTCATCATTGGGATCAAGAGTCAAAACAGGAGGTTCCAACAGCCGGGGCATGGCCTGAGCATCCCAAATGATATTGTCCTCCCAGCGTCCGTACACTAGATCCTCATTATCGATGGGAAAAATGGAGTACCAAGGTTTGTCATCATCAAGAGTGGCTGCAAAACCTAGTTTAATAAAAATAATGCAGTCAAAGCAGGAGAAAGAAATAGTAATAGACAAAACATTTACACCACCTTCAATCAAGATTCTAGCAAAGAGAAAAAAGAACAAATAGTAGTTATCCGTGCAGCTATGGAAAGGTATTTCTCGCCTTTAAAAACCGTTGCAAGAGCCAGATGTGGTGTCGCATGCCTGTAATCCAAGCACTCAGGGTGCTGAAGCAGGAAGATTATTGATAGTTGGATGGAGACTAGCCTGAGCTACAAAATGAGCTCAAGGCCAGCCTAAACTGCATAGTAAGACTATGTCAAAAAGACCAAAACAAAAAAAAAAAAAAAAAAGAGAGAGAAAACTGTTGCTAGCCCATGCCTATAATCCAAGCACTTGGGAGGCTGAGGCAGGAGGACTGCCATAAACTGGAGGCCAGTTTGGGCTACCTTAGTGAGTTCAAAGCCAGTCTGAAATACATAGCAAGACCCCATCTCAAAACAAAAAAATAAAACTGTTGTAGATAAAATGCTCATTGCAATATTGCTTGCAATAATTGAAACTTGCACAGCCTAAATGTTTAACAAGGGTTTGGCTAACACATTAATAGGATAAATAATTATTAGGAATTAGAATCAAGACTCAGATCCAAACATTCCACTATTCCTCAGCAGCCCAAAAGATCAAAGCCAAAGCCATTTAGGATGACTCAGGATGGCTCATATGAATGGTAGTGCACCAGATGCAGTTGAAACTGATGGCTACCTTGTTGAACATTGTAAGCCATGGCATTTCTAGTCATACTGGAAGGAAGCCAGCCTGCCAGGCTTGCGCGTTGAGGTTTTGTCCCTTTGTGTTTGACATCTTCTCCATCCCAAATGATATCATCCTCCCAATGTAGCTGTGTCACCATCAGGAAATTTTCATCTGCCAGAAGATCAGTGCCACTGCTTTCCTCGAGTTTCTTATACTCCTGTAGGAGGAGGATACAAAAGGAACAAATCTTTGATCAACAGTATGAGTTCCCACTCCAAATTGAACATCAGATGCATGAGACACATGGAAAGTCATGCTTAGTCATGTTGAAGCCCAGTCTTAGCAATTTAGCAATACAGTGAGACTGTCTAAAAAGCAAAATATAAAAGGTCTAGAGCTATAGCTCAGTGAAAAAGCCCTGGGTTTAATTTTCAGTACAACAACAAAACAAATAGTTTTGCTATTTTACTTGAGAAAATCACCTGATAATAAAAGGATATCTGCTCTTCTATTCATCATTTTGCAAATAAAACCCTTAGAATGGGGCCTAGTTATTAAGGTAACATACCATTACTAAACAAAAGGTTTAACCAGCTAAATCTTACCAAAGAAACCCTAGTGTCTCCAACTAAAACATGAATCAATAGAGCCCTGGGCACACTGATGATTCCCTTCTTACATACCAGTGTTGCTCACCTCCATCATTCTGCATTTTATGAGAGGTTCATGTTCAGTCTTCCTCAGTTTGAAACCATAGTCAAACCCACTGCCATCTTCAGGGACACCTAGCATATCGTACCACAGTCGTGCAGGCCCATAACGCCACTCAGCCACTCTTGGTTTGGTATCTGTCACTTTATCTGTATCTCCAGTAGACTGGGAAAACTTGGACTCCACAGGAGCCATCATTGTGATCTATAACAAAGCAGAGAATCAGAAAGCGGGGTAGTTCCCTATATCTGATGTCCTAAAGCTATTGGGGGACTAAAATTTTTTTCTGTTTTTTTGAGACAGAGTCTCACTACGTAGTGCAGGCTGATTTTGAACTCACTGTAGTCCAGATTGGCCTCAAACTCACTGTAACCCTCCAGCCTCCTGAGTCCTGGGACTACAAGCGTGTACCACCACACCCAGCATCAAGAGGAAAATTTAAGAGTATTCTTGAATAAGAATCTTTCTCTGGAGATGCAAAATTTTAAAAAATGGAGATAGCCTGGCAAGCATGTGGTCCTGAGCCAGTACCAAAAAAAAAAAGCTGTTATGACAGTACATTCTGCCTATTTTCTGAACCTTCCTATTCCGCAGTATATCACCATCAGCACCACTCTCATCCCACATCTTAACCCTCTACCACGTACTGTACTTATAACAGGAAAGGGACAGCCACTGGAATTGACTTGTGATTATTTAATGATAATTAGCACAGAACTCTGCCTGCTCAAGTATTTCCAATTTGACACCTTTATTGGGAGACCTTTATTTGTCCACCCTGTAGGCCTTAATCCCAGGTCTCTATTATGCCTACTTCATCATCAGAGAGACACTGCTCTGGAGGTGGTGGAGGAGCATAGTCATAGTTCCATAAAGACTTCTCGTTGACTTCTGATTCTACTGAGCACTCCACCTCCTGGACCTGTTCTTCCTGTATCAGCTCACGGTGTTTTTTCTTCCTCTTTCTCCGAGCACTCCGCCAAACAGATGGAACATTCTTTCCTGGTCCAAAAAGACGTAAGAAGCGCAACACCTAGAACACATGACATATTACTTTATCAGAGACTCAAGTGTCAGCTAGGAAAATAGCAGCTTTCAAGTTTTAAAACTCTCTTAAAGGATCCACTCAATCAGGGGGTGGCTGGGGATACAGCTCAGCAGCTCAGTGCCTGCCTGGCAAGTACAACATTATGAGTTTGATTCCTGGTACCAAAAAAAGGGGGTGGGTGGAGTAGGGGTGTGGATGGAATGGGGAGCAATTCAAGGAGTATACATTCAGATTTCTAGTATCTACCACAGAGGTAAAGAAGTGACCCTTAAATTGGGCTTGATAGTGCATACCTGTAATCCCTAGCACTCTGAGAGGCTGAGACAGGAGGACTGTAAAACTGAACAATTTATAAACCTTTATCTTAGGGCCAGGCATGGTGACATACGCCTGCAATCCCAGCACCTGGGAGGCTGTTATAGGAAGACTGGCACAAGTTCACAAGTTCAAGGCCAGCATGGGCTATACAGTGAGTTCAAGGCCAGCCTGAACTACATAGGGAGACCGTGTCTCAAAAAACAAAAAGACTCTGTTTCAAAATAGAATTTTTTTTAAATTCTGAAAGAGCCAGGCGAGGTAATACACCTCTGTAATCGCAGTACTAGGGAGGCTGAGGCAGGAAGATCATCATGAGTTCAAGGACAGCCTAGGCTAAGTAGTAAGACCAAAACCAGTCTAAACTACATGGTGACACCCTGTCTCAAAAACAAACAAATAACAACAACAAAAAAAGAATTTAAAGTCAGCCTAGGGCACAAGAGTAAGTTCAAGGTTAGCCTGGAATATACAGCAAGACCCTGTCTCAAAAAAATCGTAATGTAGCAAAAAGAGTTCCTAAATAAGACTATATGATATTTAATAAAGAAACCCATAGATTTAGATTTTATCCATTCAGCATCTTAACAGAACTTGGTATCTGGAAGAGGTCAGTGGTTTGCAATATGGGTATTCTCTAGAAAGTACCTTTCCAGGCCGAAATTCTGGAAAAAGTTCTGTGACACTTGGCAACAACTTGGTGGCGTCATGCTGCATAATCCCAGCCAAAGGTAGGGTCAGCTTTCCATCCTCAGATTCTGTTTGCTTTGCTTCCTGAGGTCCCATCTCAGATTCTGAGTCAGAAGAACTACTGAAGTCCACTTTCTCTGAGGCCAAAGAGGAAGGGGCAATGATGGAGGGCAAGATGATGCCTTCTCCATCTTCAGACACTGCAATAAGGAAGAGAAACCCCTTTGGCATGTAACTGTAAACATAATTATTCACATTTTGTCAACACCCACTCTAAGCTATATGCATGGCTTAATGGCAGGGGATGTAGTCCCAAGCACCCACACTACTAGTATGCGACCCAGAAAACTCTTCAAACTCATTATTTCCCACCATCCCCAACTCACCTTGTACCTGGGTACCCTAGGGTTGTGATGAAAGAAAACAAACACTATTACTACATTCACTACTTTCCATAAGCAACAAGTATTGTACCCAACATTGTGACCAATAATAGCAGGATTATGTACTTATACCAGTAAGGCCCTTAACATGTCCAGTTCCAGAATTCATACACTAGATAATTCTTTTTAGGCCACAGGATAACAAGGAGGGTGTACAGAATAAATAAAATCTATACATCCAAATTTGACAGCAGTATTTAGCCTGTAGCCTAAAGAAGGAAATGGCTCAAGTTTAAATTAACAGAAGCTTCAAAATACAGAAGACAAAGCTGGGTGTGGTAACACACACCTGGAATCCCAGTACAGGGGAGGCAGAGATAGGAGGATCACTTTGAGTTCAAGGACAGCCTACAGTACACAGGAAGACTCTGTCCCCCCAAAACAAACAAACAAACAAAAAATACAGGAGTTCAAAGACACTGTTCTTCTCCTATCTTCAAGTCTATGTTATAGTTATTAATGTTACAAGGATAGAATTTGTAAGACATTCATTGATGGCCTTATCAACTTTTGAAATCTCTGAATACATGGTAAGTAACCCTAGACAATTTATACATTCTAGAGTCTTTTTTAAATGGGTAGTTTCCAAATACCAGTATGCAGATTATTTGTATCAGAAATTCTTAGGGAACTCAAGTCCTAGGCTCTACCCCATATCTTCTGAATCAAACTCTCCAAGAGTGAGAATCAGATATCTCTACATTTTAGAGACTTGAGGTAATTCTGATGGGCTGCCAGATTTGAATCAGTGACCCAAACTGCTACTCTTAAGTACATGTTAAAATACTGTTACCAAATTTTTTTCTTTTTTTGAGACAAGGTCTCATTATGTAGTTAACCTGGCCTTGAACTCACAATGTCGCCCAGGCTGGCCTCGAACTTGCAGTGATCCAACTGCATCAGCCTCCTGAGTGCTGGGATTATAGATGTGTGCCACCACACCCAGCTGTTTTAAAAGTAAAACTCATTAAAATCACTTGTAATTTAATACTAAATAATTTCTGGAAGCATCATGTTTTCTACATCAGTTTAATTTTCTTAATAGTCCTTTATGCATAGAGTGCCAAAATCATGGACTTATGAATGAAAACTTGTTCCTTAGACAAAAATAGTATCAGCTTACCACATGTAACAGCATCTTGGTCTTTTTCTTTCTTTACTGGTCCTGGGGGTGGAGGTGGGGGAGGCATCAACTTGCAATCAATGTCTTCACAGTCAGCATCATAGTCATCTTCATCATAATCTAATAAAATGAATAAGGTGATCTCAGTATCCAGAATGTTACGTAGTATCTTTGGGCTGTCTTGCTGCTCAAGAATTTAAAGCACCACAGAAAGTATAGTCCATGTCTCTTAATACACAAGCACCAGGTGAGGTAGCACACACCTGTAATCCATTCTAGCAACTGGGAAACTGAGGCAGAAGGAGTGGTATGAGTTCAAAATGATCAGTCTGTGATATACAGTGCATTCGAGACTAGCCTAGAGTATACAGCAAGACTAAAGAAAAAAGAAAAAAGAATACACAGGCTGAGCATGCTGGTACACATCTGCAATTGTAGCACTGAGGAAGGCTGAGGCAAGATCACAAGAAGTTTGAATCCCATACTTGAGCAAGTCAGCAAGAGCCTATCTCAAAATTTAATAAAAAAGACTGTGGTTATAGCTCAGTGGAAAAGCACCCTTGAGTTTCATCCCTTGTACTAGAGAGAAAAAAACAGAATACACAAAAGATGCAGCTTCTGCCTTCAGAAAGAGATGACACCACGGTATACAAAAATGCTCATGTCAGACTTTCAGGAAATTGGTGGAGTAGTGAACAGCACAGAAAGAACTTTTCCAAGTTTTGGTGTCCAGAGCCTGGAATATAGCAACATGAGGAAGAGAAGGAAGAGGAAAGTGGGTCCCATGGACAAAGGAAGGCTCTGAACTGAGACTTGAAGCCCATGGAGAGAGAGAATTCTGGAATCCAGCAAAAATAAGAAAACCAGGGGCGGCAGCCCTGCTGGCTGGGGAAAAGCAGCAAGGAAGTGGTGCAGCCTCCCCATGTGGTAGTGGAGGACCTGCTGGCTGGAAAGAAGCTGTGTGGCCTGTGTACTGGTAGAGGCTCTGCCAGCCAGTAAAGCAGCAAGGAAGCTATGCAGCTTCCCTGTGTGCCAGTAGAGGTCCTTCCAGCCAGGGAGAAGCAGCAAGGAAGCCATACAGCCTCCTTGTGCGGCAGTGGAGGCCCTGCCGGCCAAGAGCCAAAGAAGCCGCCTCTACACTCTCCCACCTGTAAGCAACTGGATGCAACACAGGCTAAGATGATAAAAACTGAAGTACTGAAGCAACCTGACATTTGTGTTGTTTGATTGACTTTGAAAGCCTGGGGTCAGTAGTCTGAGCAACTATTTAGAGAATATGCAATACAGTTTTAAAAAAATGCTTATGTATCATACAGGACAAGAGAGCTTCCTAGAGTTTCCAAAAGTTATCTGCAATCTTTTGTTCCTTCTCCTGATAATTCGCTGGTTTTTTAAAAATTAAATATTCTTCTCTTGGTCAGTTTCCCCTAAGGCTAGATTTTCTTCTCATCTCCCAAGTACTGAATACATATTTTCTGTATACCTTCTACAATTTGTTCATTTTACTACTCTTTAACCATTAGCAACATTTAATATTTGGTCCTAGAACATTCTTTTACACTTGAAACTTATTTTCCTATATACTCCTGATTTCCATTTTCAAGAATCACCCTTACTAGTTTTAAGCCCAAATCTATGTATTTTGCCTTGATTTAGCCCCTGTACAATTCTACCACATCTTCTGTCTTAAGAGCCTTTGCAGTCAAATATTCAACTCTATCTTTTAAAACACTGAAATATCCTCCAGTTCTTTTAAATTTCCTTTACCAAATCCAGACTCCTTTTCTCAGCCTATGACTAGCCTGTCTCCATCAATCTCCTAGCCCTCAATGTGTTTTCCACTCATTATCAGTAGTAATACAAGATACTCCATTCACTGAACTCCCTTTATGTTTCAGGCACGGCTAGCTATTTTATATTTAACTTTCCCAGTAATAGGAATTATCCTGAGACACAAAAATTAAATGATTTGATCATATAGCTTTAAATACAAGCCACATTCAACTCTGGTTTAACGACCATGCCCAGCTTCCCAACATTTTTCATTCTTTTCAACTGCCTATCTGCTGGGACTACAGGTCTATGTCCCCATGCCTGACTTCTCCAAAGCTTTATACAAACTACATTTCCAAACCAAATGTCCTGCTTCTTTTCTACTAAACAATCTTGCTTTCAAAATTCTGCTCAATATTCACCTCTATGAAACCTTCTTCAATGACTTCAACCCACTTTCAGTTATTCCAAAGAAATATCTTTGTAAATCAAACCATGCAAGGAAGTCAGTGCCAGGGAAGAAGGAAACTATTAAGGCACTCCCAGAGAAAAAAGAACCCAATAATGAGAATCCCAAAGCAGTGAGATTCTATTAACTGCAGCCACTGTCCTTTTCCTAGAAGCTAACACACAAAAGCCAATTAGAAATCCTCCCTCCATCTCCTTTCTTACCATCCTGGGTCAAAACAACTCAAACCTGAAAATGATGACTCCAACTGAAAATCAAAACTGCTGTCACTTTCCCCTTAATTAAGCTAGGGTGCCCAAAAATAACAGCTATGGAACCTAACTTAGCAATTCTGGCAGCTCATCAAAACTAAATATAACATTCTAGCCTGGCCTAGTGCCATACACCTATAATCCCAGCATTTGGGATGCAGGAGAATCATCATCAATAGTTTGAGGCCAGCCTGGGCTACACAGTGAATTCAAGGCTGACCTGAACTACATAGTGAAACTCTGTCTTAAAATAAATAATTAATTATTAATAATAATAGTAAAATTAAAAACGCCAAGCGAGAGGCTGGGGATTTAGCTCAGCGACATAAGCGCCTGCCTTGCAAGCAGGCAGTTGTGAGTTCGATCCCTGGGACTGATAAAAAGGAAAAAGACAAAAAAAAAAAAAAAAAAAAAAAAAACCACACACACAAAAACGCCAAGCGAAGTGGCAACTCCTGTAATACCAGCACTCAGGAGGCAGGATTGCCAGTTCAAGGCCAACTTTTTGCTACATAGTGAGTCCAATGCCAGAGTGAACTGCATAGCAAGACCCTGTCTAAAAAGAAAGAAATCTACAAAAATTAAGTGGAATTAAAGCCTGAGTATGTTAAGTCATCCCCAAAACAAAGAGGACAATAGTCACTTAGAACTAAATTGATAAAGAAGAAGCAGAGAAAAGGCAGAGAAATCAAGAACAATGGCAGAAAGCAAACATAGAAACCAGAGCCAAAACAACTAAATAGCATGAAAATGGACTTGAAAGCTCTAAAATACCAAAAAAATCACCTGTGTGGCAAAGAGGCTGCAAGCTTCCCATTGTCTGCTGATACCTTCGGCTTTCATCTTCTGCTACCTCGTTAATGTCTGAATAGTCCACAGCATCTTCTGTACTCTTGATCCAGCCTATGAATAAAGGGTGGGGGGAATCACAAGAAAGAGCAAGTAACTCCCACTCCCTCAATTCTCATTTAAAAGTCCATATACCGCAGCCCGGGATTTAGCACCAGTGGCATAAGCTCCTGCCTTGCAGGCACGCGGTCTTGAGTTTGATCCCCAGTACAAAAAAAAAACACATATACCCTATCAATTAGCCTCCTTCCCCGCCTCACTCCCATAACCCAGGCTTCACCTTCATCATTTACTAAGGCACCATCAGTCCCCGGCAATTCTTCATTCGCCGTGAGTTCAGTGATCAGACTGCCCAGACCCAAAGCGCCCAGGCCTGCCAGGTGCTTCTTACACTCCTGAAAAAGGGACAGCACCAAAGTAACAATTAAACCTGCGTGTCCCACACAAGGGTTATTTCCCTGGTTCACAACAAAGTCATAAGCCCATCTGAAAAATGACTGCAGTGTGCGGAAAAAAAATTTCACATTAAAAAACTGTATGACAAATTTCACCGAATTCATTGGTTAGGCCATATTCGATTTTATGACACTCTAAAAGTAACATAAGAAAGATTATTCAAAAAAGAAAACAAAAGATTACTCAAAGAACCACTACCAAGGCTAAATGAATGGGATAGCAGTTCTCTGAATAAAGGCAAATGAGCTCAGTTGGATGAGAAGGCAAGTCCTGGTCTCATTTACTCTTTTGTGTGTAGCTATTGCAGGAGATGGGCAATACTGGTCAGCAGCTTTATTCCTTGAAAAGTGAACCGAAATGAAAGGTGTCAGCCGGGTACAGGAAACCGTGTGGTGAACGTACGCGGGCACACACTAGGTGTACCGCCTAGGCCTTGCATAGATCAGAGGTAGCCCGAGGACCCAATGACTGTTGCAGTGTTTGTCTAGCCCTCTGGCTCTAAAACCAGCTCGGCCCAGCGAGGTCAGTAACACAGCTTCGAGAATCTCTAAGAAGGTTCTCACAGCAATCGTTTTAAAACCGGCCGTTATTTTCTACTGTCCGGCTTAGAAACATGTCAGCTCCGCCGGCACCCACCCCCGTGTCCCACACCTCCCAACCCTGCCCACCGTTGTCCTCTTTCCTCCCTTTCCTTGGGCAGAACTGGGTCCTCTCACTTTACACTACTCTCCAAAGCTTTGAGGATAATATCCTGTACTGTTCACTGCGCCCTCTCTCAGAAAGCCATACGCCTTCTAATCTCTCGTAAGCAATTATACTACAGTTCTATATACTCTCTTTAGCCACACCACCCCCAACCCTATCCCCACGCCTTCCCCCTCACATCGTCCAAGACGCTTTCCCCCTCCAGCTGGCCGGCTTCATTGATGTTGCCGAATAGGAAGCCGGTTAAAGAAAATGGGCCTCCTCCAGCAGAATCTTCATCACTGTCCGTCTCAGACATGACGGCTCAAAGATTACCGGTAGTGGTTTAAGGCCTACACTAGCGCCTACCACGCCGGAAATACAAACATCAGTCGCACAGAAGTGACACGCAGAATTACTTAACCTGACACGCCCCTACCGGAAGTTGAATAGTAAGGCATCAACGGAAAGACCGGCTACCCTACGAGAACATACTATTGGTGTCACTACTTTACTAACCGCTTTTGATTGGGCCATATGCGATCAGGAGGCTGAACAGCTGAAAAGCGATTGGTCAAGAAAGTTCGATCCCACCTCTTGAACTGCCTGTCAGCGTTCCAATCAGAAGGAAAGGCTGGAGTCACGTGGCTATGCCTGGAACCCGCGGGTTTCCGCGCTACCGCGGTTTGGGGGACTAGGTCTATTACTATTTTCGTTTGTGTTGTCTGCGGATTCATCACTTCTTCTCAAAGGGCAACCTAAGTTTAAGTTGTGCAGGCAGCTTAACTGTGCCAAAGCTGTCTTCGTTGCAAATCACTTGTTACGAAGTGGTATTTCCCGATAGTAATAGATTTTTCCCCCAACGTTTTGCGCCCCGACCCATTGAACCCTGGCATTTGTACTGAACTTATGCACACCATTTTTTGGGCGGGGGAGGAAGTTTGAGATAGTGCCTCCCTTTATAGGTCAGGCTGGCCTTAAACTCACTATGTATTCCAAGCTGGCCTTGAACTCGCGGTGGTTCTCCTGGTCTCAGCCTGCCAAGTGCTGGGATTACAGGTGTGCGCTGCCATGTCTGCCACACCCATTTTTTTTAAAATTGGTACTGGGGATCGAACTCACGACCATGAGCTTGCAAGGCAGGCGCTTAATGCCGCTGAGCTAAATCCCCAGCCCTAACACTCATTTTTTATTTCAGCTTCTAACAGAATCGCTCATATTAAGCTGGATTTTGTTATCTTCCTGTCTCAGGCTCCCAGAGTGCTAGGATTTGAGGCATGTGCTACCAGCATTTTATTTCAGTGAAAGATTAGTAAAATCAATAACTGCTCTTCTCTTTAGATTCGTGATGGTTAACATTTTTTTGGTTTTTTTTTTTTCCCTTAAACCGTATGAAAATGCGTTACAGGGTTAGGATTTAGAACATTGGTAGAACACTTGCTCAGCACGTATGAGGGACTGTGTAGTAGGATAACCACACCACCAAGACAAAAGAGGGAGGCTACAAACATCATAGTGTCTTTCTCCTTCCTTCCTTACCTCTATCCCTCCTTCCCTCCCTCCCTCTTTCTTCCTTCTTTACAAGGTCTTTAGTACGTAATACAGGCTGAGCCAGGCTTGGTGCTGCATGTCTGTAAATCACAGCACTTAGGAGGCTGAAGAAGGAAGAACTCAGGGAGTTGGAGGCCAGCCCAGAAAAGCGAGACCTTGTCTCAAAAAAAAATTTTTTTTTAAAAGGTAATACAAGCTGGTCTTGAAGTCACTATGTACCCCCACCCATCCTGACCTCAAATTCACCAGGATCCTTTTGCTTCACCTTCCTGCATGCTGAGATAACAGGCGTGTGCACCAACACACTCAGCAATATGGTTCTTTTTTTTTTCTTTTAAAGAGGAAAAAAAAAACTGTTTCAAAACAGGTTAGTAGAACAGTTACAATAAATAATACATGGAGTAACATGGTTCTTAACTCCTAAAATGGATATCTTACTACATGAACCCTTATCACATCTTAAAAATTAAGTTGATATTATTTAACGTAGTAAATATTTAATTTCCCCAGTTTCATTAATTGGGGGCATTTTACATCTTACTCAACCCAGTATACATTCAGTAGTAATGCATTGAACTTAATCATCCCCCTAAAGGGATGATTAACTAAAGTTCAGAATTCATCAAGCCTTTTGTTTTATTTTGTATTTTATATTATTTTGCATTATATAATTTTTTAAAAAGAATCCAGGCAGATTTTCTTGAAAACATTCCATGTTCTAAATATGGCTTTTTTTCTTTCTTCAAATGGGTTAAGGTTAAATACTTTATCAGTCATAAGAAGACACAATATCAAATTGTCCCAATATAGGCGATTCTATATTTAGATCATACAGTGGTGACTGCCAGATTTCTCCATTGCCAAGGTACATTTCCAGGTTTTGTAATTAATAAACAATCTATGAGTGCCTTTTGACATTATCTAAATAGTCTGTTTCCATAACACACCCAGAGATTTCCATATTTATTGATGAGAGTGCAAAAGGGTGATTTTCCTAATTCCTAAATCTTTCTAAATTTATTTGTATTAATTGGAATTACTCAGTAAAGAACTTTTGTGTTACCTCCTTTCTTGTATTTTTCTTATCTTACAACATAGCACCATTGTTATTTTGATGCTCCAGATGTTCTAAATTTTCCCAACAGGAACCACTTCACACTAGTTTTAGTGTGTGGGAGTGGGATGTGTATGTTGTTTTCTGTCTTTTACCTTTTGTTTTTGAGACAGGATCATGCTATGTAGTTCAGGCTGGCTTTGAACGAAATCACTATGTAGCCCAGGCTGGCCTCAAAGTGATTCTTCTGCCTTCCAACTGATGGGGTTCCACATGCATACCACCGCACCCAGCTTTCCTGTGTGCTTTTGACCTGATCATTAATCTTTGAGCATCTCCCTGGCTTTTGGCATATGATGTACCAAGTTTTCTCTGTGTATTCCTGCTTTGGAACTGATACCCATTTTTTTCAAGGAGCCCAGCTCTTTTTTAGTGGGCAGTGGGGTTCAGAAACTAAGATCCAGACCAGGCATGATAGTGCACACATGTGATACCAGCACACTAGGAGACTGAGACAGGATGAGCCCAGAACAGTCCTCTTAGCAAATTAAGGAGACTCTGTCTCAAAATTTAAAAGAGGGGTGGGCTGAGATGTAGCTCACAATAACAGCCTTGGGTTAAATCCCCAGGACTGGGGGGCGGGGAGAGAATAAGTGAGAGAGAGACTAAGATCTGGGAGTATCACTGCTGGTAGGCCTTTTCAGTGGAGAGTTTAAATAAGTGAGGCTTTTTTCCTACCATTAGTTCCAACACTGCAGTTTTTTCTCATCTTTCCCTACTTCATATTTGTGGGTTTTTTTTTTTTTTTTTTTTTTTGTCTTTTTTTGAGACAGGATCTTGCTATGCAGTTGATACTGGCCTTGAACTCATTTTGTAGCCCAGGCTGGTCTCAAACTTGCAAAGATCTTCCTGCCTCAGCCTCAAGAGTGCTGAGATTACAAGTGTGTGCCACCACACCTGGCCTCTACTTCATATTAGTATTCTGCTTTTTCCATTCATTTTTTTTTTTGAGACAAAGTCTCACTGTTTATCTCAGGCTGGCCTCGAAATCAAGCAGTCCTCTTGCCTCAGCCTCCCAAGTGCTGGGATTACAGGCATGCACTACCATACCTGGTTTACTGTTTCTTTTTTTGTTTGCAGTACATAATAGTTATATTTATCTTAGGGAATAGATACATGTACTTATTAATTCTTAACATCTTAATTTCTAACCTCTTAATTCATTTTATTCCCTTTCTTTTCTCCCTCTGCCACTAGATCCCCTTCCCATTTTGAAAGATCTATCTCCTGGTTCCCTGGTGTCTTTTATTTTGTTTTTATGGATTTGTACTTTGGGTTTCTCATATGGGAAGTTGTATGATGTTCAAGCTTCTGTGTCCGATTTATTTAACTTAATATTATGATTGCAAGGTAAATCTATTTTCCTAAAAATTACTCAAATATATTCTTAAGAGTGGCAGAGTAGTTGTCTATTATGTATAAATACCACATTTTCTTTATCCATTCATCTCTTGATGCACGTATAGGCCATTTCCATGACTTAGCTATTCTGAACTGTGCTGCAATAAACATGGGTGTGCATATATCACTATGGTATATATCTTTAACACTTTTGGGAAGATACTTAGAAGAGGAATAGATGGGTCAAATGGAATTTCTATTTTTAAGTTTTTGAGGAATCTCCATACAATTTGCATAGTGATTGTACCAGTTTACATTCCCACCAATAATGTGGAAGGGTGACCCCCAGCTCCTTAACAGTGTTACTGTTTGATTTTTTGATGATATCCATTCTGGAATAAGATGGAATCTCAGTGTTGTTTTAACTTGCATTTTCCTGATAGCCAGACACTTTGAACATGTTTTATAACTGGCTTTTTTTGTGGGGGGGGGGGTCTTAGTGTGTGGTTCAGACTGGCCTTGAATTCACTGTGTGGCCCAGACTGGACTTTACCTCTCGGTGATCCTCCTGCCTCTGCCTCCCAAGTGCCAGGATTACAGGGGTACACCATCACACACAGCTGGCCATTTGTACTTCTGAAAGTATCTAGTCAGTTGCCTGTTTTTTAAATTGGGTCTTTTATTTTGGGAGGGGTCTGATGTTTTAATTTTTTGTAAGTTTTATATATTATTCCTCTGGCAGAGGAGTAGCTAGAAAAAACTTTTTCTATAGATATTCTCCTCATTCTAGTTTTCCTTTCCTGTACAGAAACTTTTTAATTTGATATAATTCAATTTATTGATTCCCAATGCTATCTATTTCTTTGTGTGGTGGGGTTCTGAAAAAGTCCTTTTATGGCTAGGCATGATGGTACAAGCCTGTAATCCCAAAATTTAGGAAGCTGAGGCAGGAGGATCTCATTGAGTTCAATTCCAAGCTTAGGCACCACAGTGAGTTCAAGGTCAATTTGAACCACATAGACCCTGTCTCAGGATCAAAAACAAAAACAAAGTCCTTTCCTGTGCCTCTGTCTTAAAGATATTTACCTATTTTTTCTTCCAGAAAATTAAGTGTTTCTATTTTAATATTCAAATCTTTGATCTATTTTGATTTTATTTTGGTTCCTGGTGATAGATATGGGTCTAGATTTCATCTTCTACAAGTGTCTAACCAGTTTTTCCAGCACTATTTACTAAAGAAGTTATATTTCCTCCAGTGTGATCCTTTGTAAAAATCAGGTGGCTAAATGTTTCTGGGGTTATTTATTCATCTTCTATTCTGTTTTATTGATGTACATATCTGTTTTTGTATCAGTACCATGCTGGGTTTTTTTTTTTTTTGTCTTTTTCATTTTTATCGGTA